ACAAGGTGTCTACGGCGGACTGGAAAATGTGTTTCGGAAACTGGTTCAGACACATGAAACTTTGTATAGAGGCTGGTAGAGAGTACTTTGAAAAGAATTAATAAAAATATATTTACCTAGAGAACATTTTTTTTAGTGTCGCACGTATATATTGTTATAGTAAGTAGTTTAATAAATTATATGTATTTGATATTTTTGTGCATTATAGTTTTTTGTATTTTATGCACGAAAAAATGATTATTTCATTCTTGCGCCACCTACCCACTTCTATCTATTCTCCTTTAACCAGAGGTTGTCTGTAAGAGATTGCCCTAGCGATAATACTGCCTTTTGTACCTTTAGGTATATATTTTAATCTGTATTTATGTTACTGTATTTCACTTGAATTATTCATTTGTCATTATATATTTTTGTTTATGGTGCAATAAAGAGTTAAATAAATAAAGAAATTGTGATGATATTGTTAATTTACTTAAGATTTGGAGTCGTCAGTCTTGGAGTTAGGTTTATAGACTAGTAGCTAAATAAAAAGGGATTTTTTTTATATTATTCAACCAACAAAACCTTGGTCTTTTTATGTTAAATTTTAATGAAACAGTCACAAGCTCAGTAATTTGTATGCGCATTAGCCATGTTTGCATTTCTGCTAATTTAATAAACCTTCAAAATATGAATAGAGATACATATATGTGAGTGCGGTGCGAACGTATAATATATGCGTATAATATGGGTGATCTAAATCATATTTTATTTTCCTGTTCCTTTTATGATCATTCTTCATTTATAAACTCTCTTATCTCCTTAAAATATTTCATTTCTTACTTCTTATATTTATTAGCTCATCCTGACCATTCTATTTACAAATCACTTGCCCTAATTATTAGTATTAATAGAATAAAAATTTAATTATTGATCAATTAAAAAAAGCCTGTCCAAAATTATTATATGTTTCATTATTCCCCGTCCTGTTTCCCTTCTGTTGGGCAACACTAGTTCATTGCCAATCTAAAAACAAGGAATTACATAGAAGGAATGATAAAATAAAAATTGTAAATCAATGTTTGACTCCTTTCTTCTTATGGAAATATTATTAGTAAAAAGAGGACGAAAGATACACCATCAGTTGCTATTTTTCTCAATTCATGGCAGGCTAGTTTGTAGAAAATATATGATATGTCAATATATGTCAATGAGAAATTTTACATTACTAGATTATATATTGGACACAGTTTATGAAGAAAGTATGCAAGCAGGTTGTATTTGAATTTGGTAGAGTTATACGGCCGTACAACATTTTCTATATAGCAGAGGTGCCAGCTTGATTATAGGTAGGTATATTGAAGAATTGAAGTGTATGTACAGTAAGGCTACGATGTCTATCCGAGTACAGAACTAGAATACAAAACCCATCCCAGTGCAGAAAGATGTAAGACAAGGTGACGTATTATCCCCAAAATTCTTCACAACTGGAAAAGATATGGTATAAACATCAATAATGAATCACTTATCTTCGATTTGTCGATGACGTAGTAATCATGGCGAAATCCCTGGAGGATTTGAATACTATGCTCATTGACCTAAATGATGCTTCTCAACAGGTAGGTCTTAAGATGAAAATGGATCGGACTAATATCATATCTATTGTCCATGTCACACCAATAATGGCTACGATTGAAAACCCTTGCTCTTAGATGTCGGCGAGTATAGTATAGTAGTATAGTATAGTAGTATAGTATAGTACCTGGGACAAGTTATCAGAATAGGTAAGTCTAATTTCAACTGAAGAGTCAACCAACGAATCGAACTCGGCTGGGCAGCGTTCGAAAAACTACACCATATCTTTTTATCAAGGATACCTCAGAGTTTAAAGACGAAGGTCTATAATCTGTGCGTGTTGCCAATGATGACTTATGGAACCGAAACGTGATCTTATACGATTGTCCAGTTGTAAAATCTTCAAATTACTCAGCAAGTTATAAAGAAGGTTAAGCTCGGAGTCTGCGTGATATAATTCTTAAAGAGGATATCCGCAAAAGAACCAAAGTAATCGTCATACCCCGAAGAATAAATGGTTGACTGAACGGAGAGAATGCTTTTAGCATTAAGTCCGCCATGTATACATATTTGTACTAATGAATAAATAAATAAACTAGCTGAAGTAGCAATGGACTTGTCACATAGCTATAAGAACCGACAACCGATGGAGTTCTTGAGTAGCGATCCTGTACGGGCAAACGCAGTGTAGGACGACCTGAAATGCATTGCAAAAAGTCCCTTTTTGCAATGCATTTCATCGTCGTTCTACTCTCTGTCCAGTCTGAGGTCTCTGTCCAGTGGACGGATTCACGGACAGTGAAATGATGATGATGAAAACATTAAATTACAGAGATCAAAAAAATCATTTACGATAAAATGTAAATATTTTGAAGTTTTCTTGAATAAGTATAGCACAAAAAATGCAGTTTACTTTAATAAACTTGAATATAGGAAAAATTCAAAGTTTTATCTAGCAACCCTATTTTCACTTTGCATCCAGAAACATAAAACACATTAATAAAAAAAATAAAAAAAAAGCCGCCGCTATGCTTATGCCGCCACCCACCACCACTGTTGCCATTGTGTTACTTTTATAACATTTTGCGTTACTTTTGACTCTGTTGTGTTACTCCCACGTTATTAATCAAAATATTAAATTTGCGTTACCTTTCGTAATGAAATTCATTACGACCACATAGACATCGGTTTGGAGGAGTCAAATGCAGCCATGTCTGTTATATTGCTAAACAGAACTATCCCTCTCACAGATACTATCCTTAGGTTATAGATAATACTGTGCTACGGGGCGCAATTGTGGCAACTCACTTCATTGCACTAGATGTGTCAACTCATTTCTTCAAAAATTCTAAAATTCGCGCATAGCGCGCTACCAGGCAATTATTAGGGAAAAATGAAATGGGCTTTGTGTATGAAGAAATGTGGGAAATATTTGTAAACTTTATAGACGGTATATAAATGCAGTAAAATATAGAGTAAAGAAAGGCTTTTTTCCGTCATTAGAATAATCGTTGAGTTACCCATATCTAGCGATTGCTATAATCTTATGACTATAGACTCTAGACAACCTAAGTACCTATATATTTCTAGGTCTAGATGGCATATCAAGATGAAACATGTGCCAGTATTTAACTTAGATTTTTTGGTACACTACTGAATGGTTTCCAATCTGGTATAGTAATTTTTGTGTGATGCCAAACAAAAATATATTGTGTTGGTTTCTATTATTCTAAGACCCATCATATCATTTTTTCTTAAATATCTCCTATTAAGTATCAGGCTCAGTCGAAAATTTATTTTTATTTATTAATTTACACTTCATTGCACCATTTATAAAAAAAATAAATACAATTATTTTTATTGAGAAATCTTACAAAAAGCGATCTTATCACAACACAATATCAGCAATATCAGCAATCAGACAATCTTTGGGTAGAGTACATTGAGAAAAAGTCAAGTGTAGGTAACACATTATTATATAGATACTAATATATACAGACTTATATATGTACATACATATATGCGTCAGGGGTGTCCTTCTCTAGAAATCTGTCAACCTCCCGAGCCATTGCAGTGTACCCCTTTCCTTTCCTACATAAGTCCCTTATTTCTCTTATTTACCAATTTCATTTACGCATTTTCAACGTTCCCTTCCTTTTTTTTCCCAAACTTTTCTTCCATACCGAGATGACAGAAACCATCAACAAATGCATTTCCAAAGAGCGTTGACGTCATGCAGGTTGCCGGTCGTAAATTCTAAGCCAAATCTTTTTAATATTACGCCGTTTCTAAATAATAATTGGGATAAGGCTAAGAAGATGATGATATATACATATATATGTACATAATATGGCCATGTGGTCCCGACATAGAATAGGTTACCTCTTTCTTTCCCGTGGGTGTTGTAAGAGTCGAATAAGGGAGGGCGAGGATTGGATAGCAGTATCCCTCTTAAAACATCTCCAAAGCCTAACTGCGGTTACTAATCTGATGCGGTTGATATGATGATAATGATCATATATGTACATAACTAATGGCACAAATACAACAGAAGAGAATGAAAGAGGAGTTCGAAGAGAGAACACAAGAAAATAGAACTTTAAGGGAGAGATAGTAAGACTTAATAGAGGTTTCGAAGCTAGCGAGAGAATGACCGCACCGAATAGAGGCAGGTAGCAAATTCCACAAGCAAACTGTCTGCATAGTAAAGGATTTAGAATAAAAGGAAGAGGAATGAGCGGGACATTTATAGCGGAGGTAGTTGACACGGCGCGAAACATAGCCATTAGCGTCATTAAGAAACATGAATCGATCTTTCAAATAATGAGGAACAATGGGGTTCAAAATTATTGGATAAAGGACTACTACTACTAACGGATAGGAAATCACTTGAATTGAGTATGAAATTGAGAAATATGATCATATTTGTATACACCAAATATGAAGCGAATGCATAAATTGTGGAAACACTCAAGCTTGTTGAATCGCTTTTCAGTTAGGCTAAATAACAATAGTCAGCATAACCGAGAATGAGCAGTAAGATGTGTGCAAGTGCAATTTTAGGGTTAACAGGGAAGAAATCATGTTACTTATACAAAGCACCAAGGTAGCAGCAAACATTTTTTAACTAACCTCCGAGATTTACATAGACTATGACAAAATATTTTTTTGATAAGGCCAGGATTTTTTACTCAGAAGTTATATAGCCCTTATAATCTATTATCAATTTTTGTAACTCGCGGATAATTATTCTTTCTATAATTGAAAGAAGTTTTAAATTTGGTTGGGCAGTTTTTCAGTTTATCCCTTAATAAACAATTATATAATAATTTGCAGCGGTTTTTTTTTTTTTTTTTGCGAGTGTGTTACTTTTGCTATGAAAATGATACTTTATGAACAGTCTAGTGCTACTTTTGACTATCAAATATTGGCAACACCGTCACCACCCATTCGAATTATTGTCGATGGCTTCGCCTTTGCTTAGAGTTCTCTTCTCGGTTTAATTCAATTTTCGTATTCTTTACTTGTGATTGTGAAATGTGCAATTAAAAGTGTTTTTGTAATAAATAATTTTTATCTATTTATAATATATTCTAATTATTCACTATGTCTGCGGATAACATTGAAAAATTGTATCAAAATTACGGCATTTTAGCTGACGCTAAGGATGACATTTCAAAGGTGTGCCTATTTCTTATTTCCCAATACTTTTGCGATATTTGTACATTATTGATACTGATTCATACAATATTATTTTGTTTTTAGCACGAAAAGGAATATTTAGAAATATTGGCTGCTGTAAAAGGATCAGATAAAGAGAAACGACTGGCGTCTCAATTCATTGCAAAATTTTTTAGCAGCTTTCCTAACCTTGCTGAACAAGCCATTGAAGCTCAATTTGATTTGTGCGAGGATGATGATGTTGCCGTAAGTGAACTTTATTATTATAAAATGTTTAAAATATTTTTTTAATATTTAATTACTTAATATAATTTTTTTAATTTATATATATATTTTAAATTTTGCATATAAAACCTTTGCAAAAATGACTGATGACTTAAATATAGCAATAATTTGTGTATTTCAGTTGTCAATATAAATGAAGGTGCTATTAATACAAAATACCACAGTTTGTATTTTGTTTTATATATGGATTTAGTAGGTTGGCCAATCATGACCTATTTTAGCCAAAATTTTTATGTGATCAATCTTAACAAAAAATAACACATTTTTACAAATTAATAAACTATCTGGGTAATTAAACATTTTTTATTGTCAATGTAGGTGTTACAACCTAAAGATCCTTATTGTTTTGAGTTTACACATACAAAAGAGAAAACTATTCTCTTATCATTTTTTATTAAATGTAGATGTATCTAAATGAGAGTTATTAATTATTTTTTTCAACCTGACCAGTAATATTTTAAAGATTGCATATGAAAAAACTTTAAATTCCCATCAAATTACAATTTTTTTATTTTATAGCTCCCACTATGGTTTATCAATATCAAACTTCCTTTGCTAATAAAATTATTATTACACTATTATCTAATTTCAAACTAAGCAAATGTTATACTATGAACCCTAGAGAACGTATAAGAATATTTAATACTTTTTTATAAATAACATTACATGTAGAATATGAATGTAAATATGTATTTACAAACATTTATGAATACAAATTATTATATTGTGCAGACATCAAACCAAAAATAATAATAAATAAATTTTCTGCTGGCTGCTTCGAGCAAATTTTCATTTGCATATCTTTTGTTGTACAACTTACATCAGAAAATAAGGCAATAACTAGGAATAATGCAATTTTTTCATTGATAATTTGTTTAACAACTAAATCAGTATATAAAGTATGCTAAGTTAGGAAGGATATAACTATAACTTACTCATGTGATTTTTCATTCCACTTTATTTAGTATTTTACAAAAAAGACTAACAAATTATCCATCATTACAAATTTTCACAGTTATTATATTAAGAGAATAACTATTATGTAATAATATATAAAATACTTTCAGATCCGAAAACAAGCTATCAAAGATTTACCATCCCTTTGTAAAGATAACAAGGAACACACACAACGAATTGCTGATATCTTAGCACAACTACTACAATCCGATGATGCAACTGAAATTAATGTAGTTACAAATGCATTACTGGCAATATTAAAAAGTGATCCCAAAGGATCATTAGTTGGTCTGTTTTCTCAAATTCATCAGAGTACAGATAGTGAAGTGACTAATGAAGTAGTGAGAGAAAGATGTATAAAGTTCTTGGCAACAAAAGTAAAGCAGTTAGGAAGAGAGGTCATCAATAAAGAAGCTGAAGACTTGATCATTACAGAATGCAAAAAGATTTTGGAAGTATGTCTATTTTTAATATATTAATTTTCAATAACATGTATTAGTCAATAATATGTTAATCTAGCTGTAATCTAAAATTAATGAATTTGGAAGGATAAAAAGTTGTCCATTTAAACAATGATTCACTCTTATGAGTTAAAATTAACCTTTTATTCACTAAAAGTTTTTTAAAATTAATTTATAAAATCATTAATAATATACCTTTAATTGATGGGAACTTTATTAATGGTGGTAAGCCTCTACAGAACGAATAGTTAGTTAAATTGATAAAATTACGGGTTACCCTCATTTCCATATAAAATAATAAAATTTAAATTTCAATACACGAAATAGAGACTTCTTGTCCTTCTGAGACTAGATTACTTGATATAAGTAGAGTCACTGGTACATTAATTAATATACACTGTTGCTTCTAGGATGTTGTTGCAGAAGAATTTGAACATATCATGGAGTTGTTGACATGGTCTAGACTTGGAAAAACCCCGGCAGGGAAGAAAGAACTAGTGCAACTTATAGCTGCTCTTGCATTGTCTCCTGACGATTGGCACCCAGAGGACCCTGAGAATGTTGATAGGATTATACAATGTACGCAGCATGCTTTACCATTATTTTCTGTAAGTATAAAATTGACTATTTTTGTAAATGTACAAGTATTACTTTCAGAAAAAAAAAAACTAACTACAGTTGTGAAAATAAATATCTATTAACAACAAGATATTTCATAGATGTAAATATTTTAATATAGAACATGAAATCACACATAGATTGTTTTAGCAGTAAATAAAAAAATGCAGTTTTTTTGTTCCACAAAGAAAAATGGCATGTTTCAATCATCAGTCAAAGTAAAAATAGGACTAACATCCAATTCATTAAAAAAAAATTAAACATCAAAATTAGTAATACAATTGAATATAGCTGCAAAAATAAGTTTTTTTTTATAAATAATTTAAAAATATAAAAAATGAAATTTTATAAAATTGTTTATTGTTCCAGACACTAGTGGATTCTACACAGTTTGTTAGCTTCTTTTGTGAACATGTGCTTACATCCTGGAAGGAAATTGCTTCACCTGATGGTGGATCTGATTCTAAATTGGAACTTCTAAAAATATTTGCTGAAATTACAGAGTATTGTGGAGAAATACAAAATGTACAGGATAAAATTAATGCTGTTTATGATTTATTAATGGTAAGATATTTGTAAATCTTTATCATTTCAGCTATTATCTGTCCCCTACTGTACATAGGCCTCCCCCATAAACTGATAAGGAATGATCCTGACCGTCCTGCAGCCACTGACTCCCTGCAATGCATTTAAGGTTGTCACTCCATATAGTGGCGGGTCATCTACACTGTATTTGCCTATATGTGGTCGCCACTCAAGAACCTTTCTTTCCCATCGATTGTCGGTTCTTTGAGCTATGTAACCCGCCTATTGCAATTTCAGCTTGCTTATCCTTCGGTCTGTGTTGGTTACTTTGGTTTTTTTTGCATATATCCTCATTTTAGATTCTATCACGCAAAGAAACTGAGCATGGCTCTCTCCATAGCCCGCTGAGTAATTTAAAGCTTTTGCGTTATTTTTAAATAATAACAATTTATTGTAATTATTTATGTCCGCATTAATCATGTTTCAAATTTGGGAAAGCCCAACTAGTTTCAAACTCAATAGGACCTTTATTCATGAGCACATATCATGGCTGTGTTGCCAGTAGCATTGCATTGTTATTCAACAGTATAGTAAAAAGTAATGAATTACAAGATAGTATAACAATCTAACTTTATTACCTATATTACTTTCATATTTATTTCTAAAATAAATAAAAATTTACATGTGCTATGTTTAATTTTTATTTATTTTAAAAATAAATATTAAAAAAAATAAGATAGTAATTGGGATTATTTTTTTACAGAATTACTTGCCAGAGGCACCAGTGGAAAGTGAACCAAATTCTGAAAATAAAGAAAAAACTGATACCACTACTGAAGACAGCAAATCTCTTCCATCACTCCAATTTTCTCATGTAGAATGTGCTTTATTTGCTCTTCACTCCTTGTGTCGTAAAGCACCAGATGCTATTACTGCAGATGCTGCAAGATTGAAAGACTTACGTTTACGGCTGCAATACACAGCACGACTCACACAAGGATATATTAAAAAACTAAAGGAAGTAACGCAGGTATGATAAAGATAAAGATATTGTTAAGATAAAGTTACGAAAACTCTTAATAACAATAACTTAGTCCAATATGATATTTTGTACTGTACTCAAAAATTGTTGTTTCAAAATTAGAAATTCAAATTAAGTAAAAAATAGCCTTTAGGCCTAATCTTTTAAAAGGTAAACAAAGAGCCCTCTTACGCATACGATAACACACAAATAAGATATACTGTCTTTATTTCAGAATAGGTAGATCTTCTACATTGATACAGTAGTACAGTTTAGTGTAATCTTTGTCAATAACAAATTTGTTTCTATGTCATTAATCAAGAACTTTAAAAAAAACTACCGATATATTTTACAGAGTAAAAAAGCAGATGACGCTAATTCAGAAGAAAATAAATTGAAAATTGCAGCATTGAAAACAACCTCCAATATCAACACTCTTATTCGGGATATATTTCGCACACCACCGAGTTTTAAAAGCAGAGTGCAACTTTCATTTCAATCTAACAGAAAAATTGACAAAGAGGTATATTTTCTTAAAATAACTTAAATTGATACTAAATATATAATTTTAGGTACAAATTATTTAATAACATATCTATTTTTTACAGGAGAAACTTGCAGATCAGAAATCGGAGGACAAAAACCAGTCATCTGCTGGCCAAAAGAGACATCGACCAATCACATTTGATAATGGGGATTCAAAAGGATCTCCTGAGAAACGATCACGCAGTGGTGACAGAAACTTAAAAATGTACACACCACCTTCTGGCAAATACAGCTCAAGATTAAACAATAGTGGCAGGTTCTCGGGACCCAACTCTGGGAGGGGTAGAGGGGGCGGATATGGTAGACGCGACTTCAGGAACAATGGGGCACCATATAGAAGGCGTAGCAACTACTAAGCTATATTGACTAACAGTGAAGTGACTTATGCTTAATTTTTTATAATTAGATATTTTGAAAACAATGTTCCAAGTGGAATATATAGACAAGGTTGATAAAGTTTTGAGATATACTTGCATATGGTACATAATTCCTTGTCTCATTGCTCACGATGTTCAGTGCAAAAGCTTAATATACAGTATTATAGATAATGCAGTTATACATGCAGAACTGTAAATTATCGAAGGCCAAGTAGAACAGTGACGTTATATTTCGCCAGGTTATTTTGTATTCTACTTTTTGCTGGGTCTTTGGATATTTAATCAATTTGGGTTAGATCTTTCCTCGAATTTCTAGCAAAATACGATGCTACCGGTTCTGCTTTCCAGACCATGTGCAGTTCGCATAAGAGTAAGTATATTGTAAATTTCACTTTATTTATAATACTCTAGTTACGAAGCAAGGCGAACAGATCTAGCCAGTTTCTCAACAATTATTGATTTTGTAAGTATACCTAAACTACTAAAATTATTACAAAAATAAAGGACAACTTGAGCACCACGTGGAATTCCATGTAAGTAAAATTTACCTGTAAAATTTATTAGATTAGATGAGGTGCCTATACATTTTGTAACACGTAGTAATTAGTGTATCCAGCACCATGTAATTTTGAAAAGGTAAGTAATTAGAAAGTTTTTTTGTTCGTGGTTCTTGTTTCAGGTTTAGTTCTTATGCCTTTGTCAAGATGAAATCATCAGGATTACATAATGCAGGAACTGAAGTTTTACTTCCTAATAAATGATTTTCGTGAAAATGTTGTTTGTACTTACTGTATCGTCGTACTCAAAGCCAACCCTTAGTAATTAATTACAGTATGTATACGATAAAACGATTAATATCATTTTATGAACCAACTACTCTAGGCTGAGTGAATTTTCTTTGTATGTACAAAGAAAAAAAAAAAGAACAATAACGGATGCCCGTTATTAATTGAATCTAGTAAATCTAGATTATAAAGCATTTTATGACATAATCATATAAAAAATATATGAAAATCATATTCATCTTTTAAATATTTGAACTGAACTAATCGTGTAATATATAAAACTAATCACTTCAGTACGATTTATCAGTACGTGATAGTCCCAGCATTGAATAGGCCACCCCTTCCTTTACCGTAGGTGTCGTAAGTGTCGACTAAAAGGGCGAGGACTGGGCAGCAGCGTCCCTCTTAAAACATCTTTAAAGCCTACTGCGGTTGCTAACCCCCCCCTGCCAAGCATAACTCCTCCAAAAGTCCTCTTATTTGGGAGATTTCCCCTTCCCCTTGGGGAAGATTTATGTCCAGCAGTGGATATTTAACGGCTGAAATAATTTGTATATAATGTCTATGGATTTATCTGACGAATTCATGTCAGCAGTATCAGATTCAATAAAGACTTGACAAAAGTTACGGTATTTTAAAGTTACCAGAAATATTTTAACAAAGTATCGTTTCATGTTATATTCTCCCGCCTCGTCTATCTATAATAGCTGAGAACGAAAAGGCAGGTATAATACCACCAGGGAGTGAGATTGTTTACTAACAATCCGTAGTCCGCATTACTATGCGGACTACCAGTCCCATTGTTAGCAATGTACCCTGTCAGGTCGTCTTTTACGTGATCCCCACTAGAAACCATCGTACTAAATTGTAATCATCACGATGGGCTAACTGACTTACTTCATCCTCACCTATCATCCCTCAATGATGCCCTGCCAGCATATACCGTTAGTGCAGGCGGGGTTACCATTCCATTATCATCCATTAAAAAAACTACCTGTGCAAAGCTGGGGTGGGGTGTAGTAGGGTACACTGTAAACCAGAGAGACAAAAGCTGTCTATATGGATACCTTTATCCCACTTATTTTTGTTGTGAAGCAGTTGTATTTAATTGGCTGTTTTGGTTTAAAAGGGGCAATATGTGCACATGAAGATGTCACTCTCCTCACCATTGTTTTCCAAGCCTTGCGGTCTTCAGGTATATACTCTTCTAAATATACATTATCCGGCAGTGCGCATGGGTGTCTCTAAATTATCCGAATCATGTCTATATGCAGCAACTTCACCTTTAGCTCAGCCAGAATCGAAGCGTTTGTATAGCGCGATGTCCAAGAAATACATTTAGCACCAGCACTAATGCGCGCCTTCAATATCTATGTCTCGGAAGCAAATGGGCAGAATTCAACAAGAATTAACCAAGATGGATTCCAAGGAAACTATGTGTGGGAGTCCACTTATAGAGCATATTGCTAGCAAAGGGGTTATTAGACCGCTATACTAGCAATCACTTTCCCCATGAGGATATAATGTAAGGATACATTACATATACAGGCATCCCTCATAGGGGTTATATTCTGTGATGACCATGGCATTGTTCATGTCTATAGGTGATGGTTATCATATTCCAACAAGTGGACTCTCAGCTTGTTGCCATTCTAAGTATAATAAAAACGTTGCCATATAGTTTTTAGGTTTTTGTCCATTAAACAAACATTTATACACAATAGGAGCCACAGACAGCCCTCTATGTCGAGGCTGTTTCGACGCTGAAGAAACGGCTGCTCACGTAATCCTGGAATGTGAGGCTGTGGCCCATCAACGTTTAGAAATCCTCGGAATGGTGAGGTCGCTCCGTGAAGCCTGTGAAGAACCCAGGAAGCTTCTGCGCTTCTGGGCGGAGCTAGGTTGGCTGTACTAGCCACGACTCACACGCACAACGGCCCAAATGAGAGGCTAAGTGCGGAAAACAGAGTCTTTCTTTATAGTTTTTAGGTTTTGTGTTTGCCATTTCAGTTAAGACACATAGCAAACACAAAACCTAAAAACTATATATCAGTACTTATAACATGATTTTAGTTGCCAACTAAAATAACCTTTTCTATGATAAATATCGAAAAATTAAAATAAACTAAAAAAGATTAAACTGTAATTATCTTTTAATAATAAATTTAAAAGCTTGTTATCTCATATTATCAATAACATTACACATGATTCGATCCAGTTCATAACAAGGGTCTGCATTAGCACTGTCACTAGGATTACAATCCATGTGTTCTAATATTTCTACTGGAACCTTGAAGTTTGATTCAATTTCATTCTGGTCAGGCAGACTCTGTAATGCATTCTGTAAAATATCTTGAACTTTATCTAAATGTTTCTTGAACCTGTAAAAATAAAGATTCGTTAAGACTTATGACAGTAGGTTTATTGTTATTACTATTTCCTGCAGCTTCACTCATGTGTATAGGCTTACAAAGTAACCTACATATTAAGTAAACAATTTATCTATGTACTAAATTTCATTCTTACATGTTCAGCAGGTTAGGCATGATTGAGTGACAAAGATCTTTACAAACTTTTACATTTATATCACATAATATAAATTTTCTTTAAATAATAAAAACTCAATCTAGAAAAGTGGCAAACAAATTTGTCAGTAGATATGTTTTCTTTATTGTGCATATGAGAATGAATAAAAAACAAAATGTTGCCATTATTTCTAATATAATAGTGATAATATATCTATCAATAGATTTGCTTATTACATGAATATTTTCATATTTAAGATTATTTTCTAGAGGTGGCCAAACCCCTTAAAAAGGCCAAGGCTCAATAATGTCTATGCATAACTGAAAGTTCCACTCACATCCTAAGATGAGCACAGTACACCAGTTAAATATGCCAATGCACTTGTCTAAGGACTAATGTGTCTACTGAACATAAATTTAAATTACAACTATTAATTTTTTATGAAAGTATATCTTCACTTTTTTACATCTGCTTTATAAGATAGCAGTAATCAATGAATATCACCAGTTAGAATCATTTAATTGAAAATTAGCACAATAATGGTTTGAAATAAAAAATAATATTGGGAAATAACAAGGAGTGACTAATTCTTGTGTGCAAAAATCTGATCTACTAATTGTTGTATAGAGAGCCTCTATACAATATATAAACATAACACATAACTGGCAACTCATGTCTAAATGGTATATAAAATGAGTTTCAATTTAGTCAATGCAGGCACAATGAAGTTTAAAGTCAAACAAGTAAAAATAGTACCGAGTAGCTGTTTCAACACGCTGGCGTTTTTGAAGCTCCATCATGACCCTCAATGTTTCACGGGCTTGATGTGGTCTGAATTCATTTAATAAATGATGAATATGTATAAATAGTAAACTTAGATCTTCAACTTTTTCAGCTCTTTTTGGAGAATCAGGACAATGCACTAACAAATCCAAAAGATCTAGGAAATTTGCTAGTAAAGAATGGTTAAGTTTCTTCAACTCTCTTCGTCTTTCAAAATGCATAGGATATAGTCGTCTGAAACCCTGAAACAATAATAGATACAATCAAAAGACATTGAAATTATTTAATTTAAAATTCTAAAAATAAACTGTTGCACAGAATGAATATCCATCCAAAAGTACTAAATTATTATTATATTATAACAGCAAGTATTATTTATGTTAATAATTGTTAAGTATTATAAGTAATAGTTATGATGGTAGAGGCTATAATAACTGTTTCTGTCATGCGGATATGATAATAATAATAGAATTATTCTATAAATTAAGTATAACTTAGTTTTACCTGACTCTCTAAGGACCGTATAATTGTATCATCAGCGTTAAAAGAGTGTCCAAACATAGAATATGAATCGTGAATAGGGCGTGGTGGCAGCGGCGCTCTGTTCCTTCGTACATTTTCATCAGTGTAAAAATTTATATATTGCATTGGTGGTAATGGCAATGAACTAACTTGTGCCGTTTCGGATGACATATTTATTGCGTTATAATTCTAGGCACTAAATTTCTAACTTGTTCACTATATCAATGTTTCCAGGGCAAGACAACACTAATTAATTTCAATAGAGTTCTATTTACAGAACTCTGAAGAATACACAAGATTATAACTCACAAATAAGGAGAAACAAAATATTTATGTGAAAACATTGCATTTCGCAGAAAATTTACTAAGTTGTTTGAAGATAAAAATTTTAAAAAAGGGAATCAACTAAAAGATTTAAAGATAGTAATAAAATATGAGAGTAATAAAAATTTGGATCTAAAAAATCAAATAAAAGAAATTAAAACTCTCTAAACATAGTATCTATAATCTGTGATTAACTCTTGCAAACAATTGAATAGCTTCGTACCATAGACTAGTTACTTTTTTAAATTTATATATGACCATGGATACAAGTCTTTTAATCGCAGACATAAAAATAGACTAGTTAGAGAACTCGCAGTGTTGCCAATATCTTCGTCTTTTCTTTAATTGCAATAAGGAATTACATATAAAGAATGGTAAAATAAAAACTGTAAATTATATGGTTGCCACCTCTCTTCTTATGGAAACATAATTAGTAAAAAGGAACGAAAGATATACCATCAGTTGCTATTTTTCTCAATTCATAGCAGGTTAGTGTTTAGAAAATGTTTGATATGTCAATTATTTGTCAATGACAAATTAATTTTTTTTTTATTAAATCATTCTTTATCGACCATATTACAAAAAAATTTCTGGTACAAAAGGCGGACTTAATACTATATAGCATTCTCTCCCAGTCAACCTTTAGCAAAACAGAAATTTTATTATGCGGTGAAAAAATTACAACATATACAATTGAGAACTACTGCATATTATGATTATATAAATATATATACATGAATATAGGTCAAAAATGATGATGATGAAGATGATGAACTGCTTTCACAGCTTTTTCAAAAAAATATTCATAGACTTTTCTCTTAGAAATAAATTTGTGAGAAATTTGTCTTATGTCCATGGGTAGCGCATTCTAGAGTTGTGAGACCTCAAGAGTGAAAAAATTGGAAACAAAAGTAAAACGATGTAGAGGAATAGAGAGAACAAGAGAGTTATTAGAACAAAGTTTGCATGTATGAGAATCACAGAGATATTTGAATCTCGTTTCAAGTATTCTGGTGATAAGGAGCTAGTGAGAAGAGAGAAAATATTGCAAAGCAACTTCAACTGTTTACGTTGGTGTATAGGGAGCCATTTTAACTGGGATCTGTACGAAGATATGTGATCATATTTACGCAGACAGAAGATGAACTATTAATAAGACGATCTAATTTATTAAGATCTTCATTAAGATCAGGATAACACACACCAGCATAATCAATAATGGGGAGAACAAGTGTTTGAACAAGTGTAATTTTAGTTTTAATAGGGAAAAAAAGCATAAAACGGTTAATGTACTGAAGTATGGCTACGACTGAACGACTAATCTCAGCAATTTGTTTGGCCCAGCTCAATTTCGATTCAATATAAAGGCCAAGATTTTTAACGCTCGTACAGTAAGTAATAATCGAATTATCGTATGTTATAGATAAGAGAGAGTTATAATCGACCTTTTCCAACTGTCTCGAGCTACCAACTATTATTGCTTGGCACTTTCTTGGATTTACTGAGATGTCAAATTCATGGGATCAAATACTGATTTTTTGTAGTTCATCGTTTATCTATGTAACAGCTGAATTTATATCTTCGACAGTTGTCTGTATATACATTTGTAAATCATCTGCATAAAAATAGTAACAACAACCAATTGTCATGGAAAGAACATTAAGAAATATTGAAAACATTAAAGGGGACAAGATACCACCTTGTGTAACACCTGATGAAAGATCTTTCCAATCAGACAACTCACGGTCTATACGGACAACTTGTTGTCGTCCACAAAGATGAGACGTGAACCAGTCCAAGGCAGAAGGCGAAAAATTGTGATGATTAAGGATCACAAGTAAGATATCGTGATCTACCATGTTGAAAGCATTGGAAAAGTCTATTAAAATTAGAACGGTGACCAACCTATCCTCCATGCCTGAATGGATATGTTTAGTAATTACTAGATTATATATTCGACACGGTTTATGTAGAAAGTATTTAAGTAGGTTGTATCTAAATTTAGTAGGATTTTAGGACCGCATAACATTTTCTACATACTAGCCCGCTAAGAATTGAGCAAAATAGCAACTGATGGTGTATCCTTAGTCCTCTTTTTCCTAAGTAGATTTGCATAAGAAGTGTAAAAGAGGCAACCATATGGTTTACAGTTTTTATTTTATCATTCTTTCTATGTAATTACTTGTTCTTAGATTATAATCGGTCGCCATTGAAACGTAGTAATTACTTGCTTTATAGAAAAATGGATAAAGGCTTGATCGTAATAACTGTATGTGTAATCACAAAGAAGTGTTTCGAACTTAGAACAAAGAATTACAGAAACCTTTCATTTCGAAGATAAATGTTATTTTAAAAGTTAACAAATTAAAAAAAAATTAATATGTAGACTCACATTATTCCTATTCACCCCGTTTTACAAAGTTTTACGGTAGGTTTAGTAAAATCGCATGTCTGACAAATGACAACTGAGAAGCTAAAAAAAAAAAAAAAAAAAAAAAAAAAAGCTGGTTGTCAAATGTCAAGTTAAATACTGCTAAAGTTGGTAGTCGATTCAAGCAAACGAATGCTCATTGCTTAGCGTTAATGTTGATGACTAATTTAATTATATAGGTATTTGCTATTTCAAGTAAATAAAGTTTTTAACGGGTGGTATTAATTACACCCACGTTCTCACTTGTTATGGACTGTTATTAATTAGAAGGTATGATATTTTTATTTAGTCTTTTATTTCCAAATCTTAGAACAGGTTGATATCTTGCCGGTTGTTTGATACACATTTATAATCTTAAATGTAATACCTATTATATTGAAAAAACACAAAATTTGTATAAATGCTTTCAGTTGATAATGGCTGGAAAAGATGGAGACGAAGTTATATTACAAACTTTCATGGTAAAGAGATCTCAGAACAAGAAATTATTCACTCCAGTCAACTACAAAGAGCGTTTGATTGTTTTGACGAGTCGGGCCCTTATATATTATGATGGTGATGGAGAAGTAAGAATTTTTCATGTTTCATATTAAGCTTTTTCTTCTTAATTTATTTATTAATGATAATTTTTTTTTCATGCTGCCTAGGAGTTGTAATAAACGAATTATTTATGGGATATTATTGTTGTAAAATTTAGGTATGTATTAGTATACAAGGTATTCTGTAAGACAGTCCTTTTAGAAGTAGAAAAATAATGAAATAGATCATTTCTAGATGGCATATTAAAATAAAACACATACCAGTTTTTAAGTTAAACCTTCATAAAACAACTGTGAAAACTGTATTCAATGAGGATGCAGTAGTTTTTGTGTGATGGTGGAACAAATATACAGATAAGCAGACAGACAAATTTTTTAAATATTATTGTTTTGACATTAATCTTATTAAGAGTTCTCATATTAATTTTCTTAACTATTTTCCATCTACCTACATTACTTAATTACAATTTTATTATATTAGTAAGATATGTGAATTGGTATACAGAGAATGCTATATGTCAATCTAGAACATTGTCTGTTTGTGTACCAAATTTTATTGAAATGTGTTCTCTTATTTAAGCATTATTGGCAGTTTTTCAATCATCTTAGCAGCATCTTTTCAACATCAACTAAATTTATGTTATAATAAGGTTATAGGTAAAATGTTAATATCACATCATATATATTCTCTGATTTTAGTATGGGTTAGATTATTAATTATTTATAATGTTGATATAATCTGGTTCATAATAAATTTAAATCACTTATGTAATGTTAATAAATTACCAGAACGTATAGACCATTCATAATTACTTTTAATTCAAATTTGAAAATAAATAAATTGTAAATACATATGGAATATGCTGGGTTTTTGCAGTTATTCATTTCAGTCATTAACTGTTGACTGCTGAATTATAAGGGGAGTTTTGTCACCCCCAATTAGGCTTTTATAGATGTTTTAAGAGGAACACTGCTGTCTATCCCTCTACTATTAAATTCTTTTAGTTGCCTCTTACAACACCCACAGGAAAGGAAAGGGTGGTTTATTCTATTATGTAGTTATTTGTGGCATGATTAATAATTTTGTATTTAGAAGTTTTTAGTTTAATACAATAAAGACCTACATTTGCACTGACAACTGCATTTGCATTGACCTAATTTGCATTGACTAAAAAATTGCTCCTCACTGTAATTTAGATTGGTGAACATTTTTCCTATTTTTATGAACAATAAAAAAATATGTGGAGTATTTCTAGACATCTTTTTTGCTTCTGACCTAAACTGTATATAGTAAAATTTTTTTAGTATATAGTTATATAGTTAATATATAGTTAGTTATAGATCATAAAGATTTAGGATATTTGCATAGAGGTTGAAGAAACAACTATTTATGCTGATGATAAAATGGGGAGTGGTTTCCAGAAGCAGACCTTGAACTCATCAAGATCTATTCAAGATTCGTTTTTCAACTGTTAAGTAGCTGTGTTTGCATGGCTGTGTTTCAGTTTGAAGGGTGGGGTATGGTAGTGAGTTTACAGGGTACAGAGGAATTACACCTGAGTCTTCAGGAATGGCAATGCATGGGGGGGTATTATGGAAGAAACAGTATACTCTGTTATGTATATAGTACTGCTCATGTCTATAGTACTGCTCATGTCTATAGGCGATGATTACCACTTTCCTTAAAAAAAGATGTCTGTGGTAATTCAAACTACCTTCTGGCTTCCTAATACAGTGTGGAATGGCTGAACTAACCACACATGCAAAATATTGTGTGAGAATACCTAGGTTAAGTAACTTGGATCAACCATAATAGATTAAGAATTTGCTCATTGTTTCCTTTAACAAATTACAATTTGTGGTAGAAATTTGAATTTATGTAATAGCTATAGTGTATAGATAATTAAATGTACTAAATTTAAATTATGTGTATAAAAAATCTTATAAAACACCTGTGATATAATGGTCATAGAAATCCCAGACTTAATTATCAATTTAGTAGATCACTGAAATCAAATTGCTGGTAAAATATAAAATTTTTAGGTGATTACTGATAAACCATATTTAAGTGTACTTGGAACATATTTTAAATATTATAATGGCAGTGTATACGATATTTTTGTCTGTCTTATCATACATTTTTACTGCAGGAAAATATTGCCAAAGAAAATAAAAAAAGTGCTTTGAGCAAACATTGCCTATGAAGAAAGTATATTATTTAAATTAATGTATTAAAATTAGTAATTGGTGTTATGTCCGACATTTCAGCCGAGTAATATTTTCCTGTGAGATAAATATTACTACCATCGAAAAATATGCAAATGAATTTGTTTGTAGAAACAATTTATAATATCATGTTATTTATGTAGCCTTCGCATTTCTCACGCTGCACTGTTCAGGATAACAATAGAATATTTTCATATGCAAGTGGTCACCCGGCCAGAAATTTGACATATACACTTGTTGAGTTTTTTAATCTAAACGTGTATATGTTATACTGTAATTGAATTTGTATTATGAAATGGAGCTATAGATGTGGAGGAAATGAAGAAGGCAACATTTTATGTGATTTGCTTGGATAGATAGTAATGAATTACTCATATATTTTGATCTGCCTGAACCGCATGGTAAGATGTTGCCTTGTGTGGATGACATAGTATATTGTGTAATTAATATTTACAGATAATGTCGTATCTGCAGTTACAAAATATAAAATTAAATATTTGAGTGATATTTATCACCCAATGTATGGCTAAACTACATATTTTAGTTACTTATTTTGATTTGGTTGCTGCGGACGCGCAATTACCATCAGACTGACTGATAACTAGATCGTTTAGCTATTCCTAGTAAAAATTTTTTACAAAACTGGTGCGTAAATAGGTTTTGCATATTATTATTTCAGTTTTTAGTATTCAAGAAATTCTGAGTTTGAACATATCCTATAAATAATCCTAGGGTATTTTAATATCATTATATAAAAAATATTTTGGTGTCTCTCACTAGATATCAATGTTTTAACAACAATATTTCACATGGTTATAGGAATGTTTGATTGTTGTTTCGGTGCTATATATGGAAACAATGTTTATAGTAACTGTCCATCATTTGGTTATTTTTATTGTTTGCGTTAAGGATGAATGGTGTCGTTGGGTTTCTTCCGTCCTTTGATAATAGGACTTAGAGGTAAATGTATACGAAGTGTAGACGATGGACGCGCATGCGTGAACTGGGTGTGTCTGCCGGGCGCCGCGTCGAGCGGCAGTTCCGCACCGCCGCGTCAGCCGCCGTCCGCTCCATCGAGCCTCGTCTTCGGCACTGGTAATTAGCACACTTATTTCCTTACAATGGACTTTCATGCAAATATTTTCTTCTGGGTGTCTATCGTATTTTATTCAGTTGAGCTATTCGACTATATCGACATATTACCAGATTCGTGCTCATTACCTTTTCAGTATCCACCTACGCAAAACTACTTTTGTGATCTGTCCAAAAAGGCTATACTTTTTTTTTGTTTTAATTGATCCGCTTCGTTTTGTTCACACGGGAATTGATCGATGTAATTTTTTAATTTAGGTATATTTATTGGTATGTTGTGTTTGGTTCATCATTCCGTTATTAACCATACATATTAGACGAAATTAATCAAAAATATATATGTATACTTATCACAGTTTTTAAATTATAACTTATGTAGCATTAATTATATGTAGGTAGGTATCAACTTAATAATTTTTTACATTGGAATTCGAAAAAGTAATGATAATTTACATCTACGTAGTATGTCAAAGTATGTCGGTATACGCGTGTATTAAATAATTTGTAAAATAAATAAGTACAAACGAATTTTCGAAATTAAATATTTTAACAATATAGTCACAACAAAAGTCATAATGATGGTTATAATTAATTTTGAAAATGTTAATTCTCTAAATTAGAATGGAGGGTGGAAAATTCAAGGTCAAGGACACAGTACACCTAAATATGTAAGGTAGATTTTTATGTAGTTTATAATAATAATAATTTATTTCAATAAATATGGTTTTATTGGCATGCAAAATGGAAAGTCTTATTTACGTGGATATATTTTAGATAATTTCAAACCTTACAGTAATAATATTTATTCTAATATTAACTAGCAAAGTCAACGTTTTGACTTTTAAATGATTTAGTAGTAGTTCCTGTATATATTTTGAAATGTTATTTTCTATAAACTTTATTATCATAAAATAACAATTGTTTTGGTAAAATACTGTATACTATTATGATTTTATCAATGTTTTCACTAAAATATTAAGAATTGTGTTCTACAAAAAAAAAAAAAAAAAAACATAAATCTACTTCAATTGTGACAAAATTAGTTAAAAACTCAACTACTAAAAAGATTTGGATAAAGAGTCTATGGATCCAATCAGTAAGCATATCCTATCAGATAAAAAAATCCAAATCTATTTACAACTGACGCAGTTATGAAGTAACAAACATGTAACCGAATTGAGAACCTCCTTATTTTTGAAGTCTGTTGAAATAAAATATTATCAAGTACCATTATAATTTGCTCAATTTAGGATGATGATGATGACTACTTGTTATTCTCAAGTGATTGTTTTCATGTTGTCGCAAGAGCGTCCTTTTTTACTCGAATAAAAAAAATGACTTTAATTTTTTTGTGGTTTTGTTGTTTCGTTTCGCGATTAAACCAATTTCACAAGTCTTTTTTGTAATCTAATGTGCCTATGAAACATGTCGTTGTTCATTGATGTTCATTCTTTCCAAATGTTACCACTTCGCTTGTAATATATTGTTTGGTATTTGAAGTATGTCTATTTAAAACAATTTTCTTTATCAATACATTTTTGCTCCATTTGCTTCCACAGTCTTGAATTGGTTCATGATTAGCAAACCCCTAGTAGTATGCGTTAAAAACAATTTTTAACTAATATTTGAAGCGTTCTAGTGGTGTTTTACCACCACTAGAACATGCGAGGCGAGACGCTGCGATGCAAGCACTGTATTTATCATCCTGAAGAAGACTTCCAGATGAAGTCGAAATAATTGTCGGAAATGACAAATACAGCAGGTTTGGCTCTTTAAGGCAAAACACCTACAGTCATGGGATGCTACTTGTCTGCAGAAATACAAGTAGGATAGTTTTAAACTATCACGTTGTTTATACATATTTGAATGACAAATAAACACATATATAATAACAATAAACGTCGGCAATAAAGAAGCAGATATGTAGGTACTATTTGCAAAAAAAATTGTCATTGTATTAAGTCCCGATAGTGTATTTAAAGCACCAGAGGGATCTAAGTTAATGAGAAAAATAAAATGAGTTCACGATTGTGATTCCTGATAGGATATTGTAAAGCATTTATAAATTTTTATAGTTTTGTTGAACATTTGATAAGCTCTCATGTCGCCATATTTGAGTCTAAATTGGCAGTGGGCGAACTTACCGTTGTCTTTCGGATTAATTTATTGAAACAAAGTAAAATAAATTAGTTTGTTTATGGAGGTTTCTATTACCAGTGTGTTAATAAAAAACTTAAATTGGCACATGAAAGCTTTGTTTTTATCTACTGGGTCGGAACTTACAGTTATTGGCATTTACCCATAAGTCATGGTAATTATTTCAGTTTAAGTGCACATTTTATATTTAAACTATTAACTAATATTATAAAGAGGTAAGGTTTGATTTTATTTAGTAATGAATACTCTTAAAAAATACTGAAACGATTTTAAAAAATCATTTGTCTATAGAAAGCTGCATTATCAGCGAGTAATATAGACTGTATTTTGTTAAAAAAATAACGTGCAAAGTCGGATCTGGTCACAAATATATTATAAAAAAATAGTGAGTTATTTTGTTTTTAACATCTTGGCCCTTAACGCTTTAACTAGTTCCTGTGAAATTTGGTACACATATTATATGGGGTGGAAAAAAGACAAAGGCTACTTTTTATCTTTGTCAATGAACATAAACCGCGAATGTAGTTGCGGGTAATAGTATATTATGATCTTGTAAATATCACACATGAAGCATTTATTTTATCTCCGATACAATTACAGCTGGAAAAGAAAACAATGGCCGTTAGAATTCCCAATAAATACAAAATTCAAATTAATTATTATTAATATCCTATATATATACACATGCATATATATAGATAATAATTTTGTCTTCCATTAACAAAGTATTAGTAATACTACGTAGGTACCCTTCGCAATCATTTTACAAAGGGTGCGCTAACCCCTCACCGCACTAATGTATGTGTAGTCATACCGCGTTTGTGGTCCCTCTTTACGAGTATGTGAGCAATTTTAATGGAGAGGTCTTCACTACACGGCGTGTGCTAATTGTTTGAAAAAGGTCTAGGTACTTCACTGTCTCTTGGTTATCCTTGTGTAACAGGTTAGAGACAAATTGAAAGTAAATGATTTTAATAAGTTTCCGTTTTAGATATTGGCGTATTTAAAATTACTTTTTAAGGAATACTTGGCCCAGGACCGTAGCTAGATTCAAGTTTAAGGTAGGGCAAAATAAGTTTTTAGTAGGGTAGAAGTTATAATTAAATGACTTCGAAAAAGCGAATCTGTCTAATTTTCTTGGAGCCTTTCATTTTAAGGTAGGGCATTGGACCTTTTAAAATAGGGCATTGCCCTGAATGCCCCCCTTGACTACGACCATGGTTTAGACTCTTGAAAAGAGCACACTAATATGTCTTTGCGCGTAATTAAAAGCTGCGCTTGCATCATTGGGCACCATTAGGATATCAGATAATTCTAGAGTGGACAAGGTCCACTCAACCTCTTCTTAAATACGTCTATGATTTTTTTGACATTTAATAGAGACAACTCGAAAATCGTCCAATGTTTCGGTTGCGCGTAGGAATTCATAGTTAGTGGTACGGACTTTGAGTGCAGTTAGTGTGCAGAACTTTAATTTTTCAATGTTTTGTAGAAACGGAGAGAGCGCGGTCGCATCGAAACTGACTCCATTCATACTGTGGAGCAGGCTCAGTTGGGTGAATACAGCAAACAGATACCAGAGGGCGAGGGCGAGAACAGTCCCGCTTACAGGTATCCGTTCCAGGTAATTTTTTATGAAAATTTAATTGTCTTTGGCTCTTGAACTGTTCATCTCCTCACGGTTCTATGGTTTGTGCTGTAGTGAATAGATGGGATAAAGAAATTTCTAATTCTTCTACTGAGCTATTTGACTAATAGGAATATGTTAGGTATATGCTGTATTTACTCTAGTAAATAAATTGAAAATATTTTATGATGGTTAAATAGAAGCAGTAAATTATCCAAGAAGCACCTTGTGATAAATAATAGGTGAGGGTGAAGGCAGGTCAGTCGGTTCGTGAAGAATTCGACAAGAATTAACCATGATGGTTTTATAAGGGGAACCGGGTGGAGGTCGATCTAATAGGGTATATAATGTATATTGCTAATAATGGAGCTGTTAAAGCCCATTACTAACAATTCCTTACCCGTAACTTCATATGTTGTTAGGTATGACAAACAGAGACGATGCGTCACTTTCTGTTTGATTATAGCTCTAATGATCTTACATTTTGTTATTTGAAACGGAAATCTTAGAAATTATCTCCATATCTATACATATAATATCTATGTCTATCTATACATGTAATAAAGATGTAAAGGTCAAATGTTTGTATATAGAAAAAAAAAAACGCTAAAAAGGGGTTGTTAGAAATGAAATAGACCACATTCAGATTTTTTGAATGTTTTGTTTCTCTGTCTGTTTGTACGGGTCAAACTCTGAAACATCTTACATCCCCGATCAACATTTTAGATACTTTTAATCATGGAAAACTAAAGAGTTTCCGTGAGATATTTAAAATACTATATTAACTTATACAGCTTAGTACACAATCTTACCAGACCTTAACCTTACCAGAGGGAAACTGTATAAAAGTCGTTTGTTTGGGTACCTCTGTCTCATTTGTGTTTCAACCGTGAATCAGTTGTTTGCGTGGCTGTGTTTCGGTTTGAAGGATGGGATATGGCAGTGAATTTACGGGGTACAGAGGAATAACACCTGAGTCCTCAGGAATGGCAGCGTATGGGAGGTATCATGGGCGAAACAGTATACTCTGTTATGTCCATGGTACTGCTCATATCTATAGGCGGGCTTACCACTTTCCATCAAGTGGACCGTCAGTTTGTTTACAAATCTAAGTTGCATAAAAAAACATACTTAGTCGTTTTAACTTAAGACAAAGAGTGAGAACGACACGTGATTTGTTAATTTTGGCCTAGTATTCCCAGACATAGTTCACTACAATAAGGAGTTTAAAAATGTTAATCGAAGGAATAACAAATACCACGCGAAACAAAGTCGCAGGCATCAGATGGCGTCAGTATAAAGATTTAACTAATATATATAAGGGACAATGAACATGATATGTATATCAGAGATATGAAAAAAGAATATTCAGAGTCAGCTTTCATTTTCTGTTGTAAATATTTTATGAAATGGTTTTATTTTAATGTTGTTAATTATAATCTCTAACTTTTAAAGTCTACAGTTAAAGAAACTTTACAGCGCGATTTCGGTGTCTCTCCGACTGTACAATTCTCTTTGTGAGTTATCTGCTTTTCCTGAGAAATACAGTTATGACATAGACAAAACAGTTTCCAAAAACTAGGTATAAATAGAGTAAAACTGAAACCTGAGTATTCATGAAAGGCAACAACCTTTCTCTTAACAATAAATGGCAAAATCTTTTTTGATTTCTTTTTACTTTTAAATTTAATTAATCACTTAATTTTACTGTTGTTATTCACGAAATTAAGAAATTTGAGGAAGTATTGTAATTCGGGTTAACATCCTTTTTAACTTATAAATGGGGTTAAATTTCTTGTTAACGATTAACAATCTTGCGCAGGTAGGCTACACTGAGCAGAACAACGATTATACTCTGTACCTTGTTGCCAGCGATCACGCCGAGCGATTACATTGGATTCACGAGATCAGGGCTGGTTCGTATTTTTGTTTTTGTAAATACATATTGTAATTTTCATTACAAATAAGTAGACATAAGCATTTTTACTATTGATAATGCTAGATGACGAATAAGCTTTCTGATAGAAAGTGATAACTGTCGTCTAATACGTGATTCCATGAACAATAAGCTTTCCAGTTCTTGAAGACTACGATACGATGTGTCATAAATTGGATTAATAATTTTTTTTATATGACTCATAACATTTGGTTATTATGCGGCGAGATCTTGTCTTTTAACAGTTTTCGCCATCCATACGAGGTCTGTCCGGAAAGTTCGTATAAAAGTGTTCTGGAATGCGAGAAAGAGGAGTGGGGAGGCTAATAAGCGCAGGACCCCTTCCTTATGTCCCTAACAATGCTTCAGTTCTGGTCTGACCGCCGTGCGGTGCGAACTGGCTTGTCACGCCATCTGTGAAGTTACCTCTTAACGAAACCCCGTCGGCATGGAGCCCGCTTCCGTTGAAGAGCAGCGCGTCGTAATCAAGTTTCTCTCGAAACTCGGCAAGAATGGCCGTGAAATTTTTGCCGATCTCAGAACAGTTTATGGGGATGATGCTGTGAAGGAACCAACCGTCCACAAGTGGCTAAAAAGATTCAGAGAGGGCCGAGAAAGCGTTCAAGATGACCCACGTTCAGGACGTCCTTCCACTTCACATTCCGACGAAAACGTGGAAAGAATTCGAACTTGTGTTAATGGGGACCGTCGTTTAACGGTCAGACAGGTGGCTGAAGAGCTTAATTTGGGCAAAACCGTGGTCCACGAAATTCTAAGAAACGAACTTCAAATGAAAAAAATTTGCGCCAAGATCGTTCCGTGAGTTTTTGAGTAAAAATTCCATTACGGTGACCGAACACCCCCTATTCGCCGGATTTGGCCCCGTGTGACTTCTTCTTGTTCCCAAAAACCAAATTGGTACTTCGGGGGCGGCATTTGGGGGACATAAATGAGATAAAAAAAGCTACGACGGGGCAGCTGAGAAACCTACAACCAGAGGACTTTCAAGGAGCCTTCTCACAGTGGAAACGGCGTTGGCACAAGTGCATTATGTCACAGGGGGAGTACTTTGAAGGGGATAAAATTGATTTACCTGAATAATTGTAAAATAAAATTTTTAAAAAACTTTTATACGTACTTTCCGGACAAACCTCGTACATCTCCAAAGCCTAACTGCGGTTGCCAATCCGTCTGCTAAGCTTGGCAACTACTGGCAAACCATCTAAGGGGAAGGCTTATGTTTAGCAGTGGACAGTTAAAGGCTGATATGATGATAACGCCATCCATTGGGAAAAGATCTTTCCTTTAAAATATTTTACAGAGTACATTAATTTGAATTTTAAACATTAATTGTATCAAACAATACTAATATTATTTATTCTCATATACAGATTTAAGATTACAGGGTTAAGATTTGTTATTCAGTTGAATAAAAACTTTTATTTCAAGTGATGTATATTAGTGAAAATAAGTAAAATAGTATTCTTTCAATAAATTTTTTATTTTGATCTCATGTGAGGTACTACCTAACCTTATATTTTTTTGTATTGGCCTAGTGTGTGGGAGCAAGGTACGGCGCACGCGATATCACCCGGCTGCGTGGTCGGCGCGCCGCTGGACGTGCTGTGACGCTGAACGACGTTCAGCCACCGGCTGCGCTCTAGCCACTCTCTGGCCTCTACCAGAGCCCGAGATAGAGCTCATAGCTCATACACCAGAAAGGAAAACTTCTAACGACGTTTCATGTACGTATTTCCTTCAAACTAGACTATTTTTATTAGGTTTTCAGTGAATCTTCTTCTGTTGCTGCCATCTTTTTCCGGAGATTCGTGGTCATCATGGCGATCTTAATTTTGTTCATTGACATCCCGAAAAAGGACCTGGTTCTCGTTCCGAACCGAATGTTATTGAGAGGAGATTTCCATTAATGATTAAGCCCAATCCGCGCTCTCCAATATAAACAGTAATAATGGAAGTGTACTGCCTTGCCCAACGCCACGTTTACATTTATAGTGACCGTTTACCATCAGATGGGATGTATGCTTGTTTGCCACTTTTGTGTGTTTTCTGTGATATAAAAAACCACGGGCAACACCAATTTAGCGAATATGAGGAAAAGCGAAACTGCTTTTCTTAACTGCGGCTGGGAAACAGGATTGAGCTGCGGCCTTGTGCGTAGTCTGTTTTATTCGCAATTTGAATGTGGACGCTTAACTGTGAGCTTAGAGCTCAAAGTGATACTTATTATTAAAATATAGATGGCGCTGGCAGTACAAATCCAAAGAGACCTAATATTGTGCATATTACAACTTCGTTTTCTTTATAGGTACTTTATTCATTTCCTAACGTTTTTATAATATTAGTAGCGACTTAATAATGGACATTTAATTTACTCAGATGATAATTATTTATTTTTGATACACCTTTATTATGTACAAAATGACTAGATTATAGTATTAGATTTAGTAAATTTTACATACTAGTATTTTAGTGAAACACGTAGCTCAAAGTGCACACAACTGAACATCTAATGTAACCATGTTTAATACAAATAAAGAATCTGAATCTGACTTGTAATCGGCAACTCGCGGACAACTTCAAATTGGCGACAACGTTACCATAGCAACGACTTTAAGGCAGTGGCAAACAAAGATCGTCACGTGGATACGTGGTATAATAATTGTAAAGTCACGATTTTTGTCAATGTTTTGTTATTGTCATTTGATTAGATGTTTATGGTTTAACAACAGTTTTTTTTTCTCTATAAAATACCAGATTCAGTAGTCACAAAATTAAATATGACACCAGCGTGGGAATAAACATAATCTAAAGTAATTGTGAAAAATGGTTCAGAAATGGAAACGTAACTTTATAACATATAACACAAATCGGACTTATTGTTATTTAGAAACTTTTTTAGTATGTCACATCAGAGTACATGATACACACTTAATCCGGTGCAAAAGTAATTTGTTTCAATGAAGCGCAACACTACAATGATAAATATTTTGAACCTCTCATACTAATATAGGGATTTTAATTGTCAAATTATGAATAGTATTTTTTTTTTACAATTTTTTTTTTACACTTTTCAACACATGCTTCTTTGGAAAGGTGTCCTGAAGAACATTTGGTTACAATTTTACCTATATAATAAGTTGACTAAAATTATTATAAAGATTAAAACGCTAGTGGACTTTTTTTAAATCCTTACTAATATTATAAATCTTACAAGATGACATTGTAGCAATTTAACATCTTAACCAATCACTATAAAATTTAATATACACGTACTATATGGTGTGGAGAAGGATATAGGCTATTTTTTATTTTGGTTAGTTTTAATATATGTGGCGGGACTTAGTCCACGGACCGGAAGCTAGTATGCAATAAATTATCAATAATTTATTTATATCAACCGTGCAATAAGTAATAGGAATAACTCGATACATTTATACTCAATACATGCTCTCTTTCCGTCGGATCTCTGTGCTGTATAAACGGGTGCACAAATTTTGTTCTGTTTCAATCATCCATTTTAATGGTACTCTAAATAAATAGAAAAACATTATGATAATTCTAATAAAACTAGTAGTGCGTGAAGACAGCGCAAGTGTATTACGAGCATCGAAATTAAGCATAGCTTGCTGCGTAAGTTTAATGTTATACCCTTTTATAATATTTTATTACAAAAATCCACGCATATTGGCAGTTAGAGCTAGAAGAAATTAAATAAAATATAAATTGATGTAAATATAGGGTGTAAGGAGACAGTACGTTTTGTATTATCGGGTCAACCTTAAATGGGTGGAAAGCGATTTTGTTCTATTTTGTTGATCGATGTCCATTTGGTTAGATACCTGTGCATCACTAGATATTTTTTTATAAATCACTTGAAGTTCTCATTATAGTGGTTTTCTGTATATTCAACTGAGTATTGAGGTGGAGTTCACAGCAGCATTATGATTCAACGCCGGACTTGAATATTCTACAAGAACAAATAGATAAAATAACTAAAATGTTGCGTAGTAAAAGACGTCGCAATGATTTTGGTGACATGAGCCCTTAGGTGGAAGAATTGAAGGGATGTTTAATAAATTCTCGCTAATAGCATCCTAGGATATGACTGCCATTTTACAATAACTCGTCCATTTCATACCCTCACAAATTAGACAGTTCAAATTCACCTATAAAATATTTGAACAAATTGTATTATTCGCTAACACTTTAAGTGTTACTGTTTCTTTTTTTTATGTATATTGTATTTAATGTCATTATGCCGCATAGGGAAGAACATTGATTATTCTAAAGTACAGGATTTCGGGATTACTTATTTCAAGAGCAGGGTATGACCTATGTTCAAAGATGTTTGTATCAGTTACTTTGAAATAAAATGTCAAACTGTTGAAATAAATTCTAATTTTAAAAAACTTCATATTTTCTCCATTAAGGGAGACGGCTACCACTTTCAATTCTAGATGACGTAATAATCTATTAGTAAATACTCTTAGTATAAAGTCCAAAATGTACGGGAAATTTTTCAAATTTTATCAAGCTCATGTTTGGGTTGCAGTAGTGTAATTTGTGGGATAGATCTTCTCAAGTACTAGCTTTCTGCACTTAATTAAATGCTGACCTAGGAGGTTGATTGTGGATGATAAGCTAATAAAAGCCAGACTTCGGACTAGTATATCAACGTGGAGCAATGCAATCGCTTATTTATCACTGTTTTAAAGGACATTTCAATGAGTGCGTACAAGGACTGATTGTCTTGTTCATGCCTTTTATTATTGACCATCACCGAACTACAAGATAAATTCTAGGTTTTTATCGTAACGTCATGGAATTTCCACATTATTGCACGAAGCAGTTTGTGCCATGATTCTTGGTGTGAACTGCCAGGGACTGGAACGCTATTCCTGCTTTCATAGTCCTGGAGAAATATAGCATTGGACTCTTAAATTCGATGATAAATAGCTATTTTGGGTTCATCCATGTTTGTTTTCGGTCTTCCTATCATTTTACAACAAGGTAGGTACTTGGTGATAGAAAGTGACGGTAGGATAAATGTTTTATAAAAAAATATAATGTCTAATACTCGGGCAGGGTTTGCATCCCATTGTTATTTTATAAGGAAATTGTTGTTTTATATAGTTTGCTTTTTGGTTTTTTTGTTGCTTTTTTTTGTTTTTCATTCTTTTATCTCTTACTGTGTATTATGTGTATGTTTATATTGTAATTTGTGTGCTGTAAGTAATTCAAATAAATTATCTATCTACTTATCTGTTATCTTAAAAACATTATTTGTGTGATGATGGCGCTCTCTGATGTCAAGATTTCTTGTTTGTACCGTATGAAGTCTTTACGTACTCTCCTAATCACGAGGGAATACGATATATAAATGATTAAAAACAAATAAAACAATACCATTCGAATTATTATGCATCAACCAGATGCAAATTTTATTACTCTTCTTCAACCCAAGGTTGCCTAAAGAGATCGCTATTTAGCTTTGTTGCCTGTTTATTTGCTTCATATAATGCTATTTTTTTATCTACTCGTATATGTAACTATGTCTTTCATTGAGGGGAACAACAAAAAGAGTTTTCATTTATCACTCATTCGCACCACGCACAATACGAATTCACCTTGAATGAATTTGTAAACAGTGACATAGTATGTAGATAGACGAAACAATGTTTATAGAGGACTTCTAATTAATTACTTCTGAGGATTTTGTACAAGACCTTCTGTTTGTTTATTGGTGACGTATGAATACATTGTTAAAATGGATTTTCCGTTTACGATGAATGTATTATTTCGAATCAGTATTTTATCAATGCTTATAACTATGAAAATTTGGATCTTTGTTATTTAATAACGCTATATATATATTATATAAAATTAGGTTTGCATATTTGTATGAAATAATTATTAAATCACACAATTTCTAAATACTATGATATTTAACGCGCTAACTCGCACCCCCCTCCCAAATTATTTTGAATGTCTATAAATCTATACATATAATAAAACTACAGAGGTTGAATGTCTGTACATAGAAAAAACTAAAAACACAACTAGAAAAAACTTGTACATTTTTTTGTTTCTCTATTTGTACTGGCTAATCTCCGAAACTGTTAGACCTATTTAAATAAAATTTTGCATGGTGGTACCTAAAATGTTGAACAGGTTAACCTGTTCAACATTATAGATACTTTTAATCGAGGAAATTTAAAGAGTTCCAGTGGGATAGTTAAAAAACTATAGTAACTTATACACACAACCTATTTAAGTAGTCATTTTGACTTAAGACAAAGAGTGAGAACGACACGTCATTTGTTAATTTTGGTCCCGTATTCCCAGACATAATAAATAGGCAGGTACGTATATCGATACATACTAAACAGGAATAACAAATACCACGCGGATAAAATCGCGGGCATTATAGTCGGGCTAGTATATAATAATAATTTACTTAAAATATTATGTAATGAAAAATTATTAAATGATGACAAAAGAAAAATATTAACACTAAATTACACTGTATTAGTTATATTTTTATTAAACTAATAAAATATTTTTTTTTAATTAATAAAATTAAATACAAAAATATTAATTACTTTCATTTTAAATTAGATTTAATGAAATTAAGTTAAATAAATAAAATTTATTTAAATTATTAGAATACAAAATATTTAAAATGCCTAAATTTATTTCCAAGTATTCTTTTATAACCCTAATAAATTTAACATTGAAATAAAAATCCATTATGAAAAAAGTGAATTTAATTAAACGGAAATTCATCAAATGAATAATTAAAGATTAATCAATATAGGAAAAATATTTTTATTGTAATTGAATTAAATTACTTTTTTGTATGTTATGGAATTAAATACTTTAGTATTTTATTTATTTAATTATTATGATATTTCTGAATAAATATTTATAAATGAAAATGCATCACTGTCTTACTTTCTAATTGATGTCAGCTGTGAGACAATCTTCTATTACTTTATATTAGAACTTTTATTATATTTATGTATGTATATATATGTATTTATGTATTCGAATATAGGCCCCCCTCTATGCTTGTCTATCCCTTGCAACTTGTATCTACTTGGTCCCGCTCGGTTTATTAGCGAAAGTTATCTGACCATCTTTTGGGTGATTGATCTCTGTCCGCGCGTATCTATGCATTAGAGCGGGGCATTCACTCTACCACCCTTCTCATCTAATAATTTTATATAATATACAATAAATATATGAATGAAGTTGAATTTAGCAGTAAATAGGTAAAACATTTTTTAATGAAATATTTCAAAAAAATATGGTCTAGATAGAATTGAACCCAAAAGAATATCTATCTTTGTTTTTTTTTTTATATATCATTTAAAATTGGCATTATTAAAAAAATATTTAAAACAGTAGTATTTTTCTGTATAACTTAGTTATCCAGTACTTAGTATCAATATAACATAGTTTATGTATGGAGTATGCGGAATAATATTTTCTTAAATTGATATATTGTGTCGTTATAACTTGTGATAAACTAATTTTCATTACAAAAATATTCTTTAAATTGTATATCTTTAAAAACATTCAACTACTTTTAATTTCAAACATTAAATTGGTAACATTATTACTTAATATTATTAACAATATTACTTATATATTATTTGAATAAACGATTGTATATTGCTATTAACGCTGTATAAATATAATATAGATAAACTAATTTTTAGATGTATTTTTGAAACGTAAGAAAAATAAATACGATTTCCTGTGTTTTATTAGTTTGTTAAACAGGTTGCTGCTATAGCAATAGGCTTCTGAGGAAGGCGACTGTACGTACGCTGTAGTATACAATAATACAATTCAAGTTGAGTTGTCGTTGATGACATAAATCTTTTGTTTCATTCTTACCATAGTAATCATGAATAAGTAAAAGGGAGACCGAGAACCGCCTGCGCGCGCGCAACGAATGGTGAATGTAGGCCGCGTACGACCATCTTTGAAGCCCTCAATACTTCGTCTCGACAAATATAAAGCCTTGTTTTATGATGCTCAAAACTATCGATTGATAATTTTCTTTTTATCGGTATTTGTCGCAATGTGTTTGTGTCGATTTGATATTTTTTTGTCACAAGATTTTAAAATATACACAAGTATTCATATAGTCGTAAAAGTATGAGCATTAAAATTTGTATTGGTAAAGGTATTAGACTTTTAATTTGATCTATGCAGTTGCTTTATTATCTTAAAATATCAATAATTATTATGTGTAATATATATAATAAGTTATATCTTAGACATATAGGTATTAAGAATAAAATTTTACGTCGAACTAGCTATCACTAATATTACGAGAGTCATTAAATCTTAATTAGACGTAATAATTACAGTTATTATAGATAGTGACGTATATGTGATTAATTTTGTTTATTGGAATCTAGCTAAAAGGAAAACTTAATACATTTTGGATTATTTATGATGTATAAAAACGGATTAGTGTGCACTTAGCTTTACCAGTAACACGGTACATTGACACGTTAGTCGGCAGTGGGAGCGCACAAGCGGTGTCGCGCGCGGACGTCCGGCCCTATACCCCGTTCCCATGTTGCAGAGCAAGTCGGAAGACGAGGCAATGGTCACTAAGAAGAAGTCCAAGATACCATGCCTGTCGTTATCGTCATTCCTCCCTGCACTAGAGGGTACGATTATTCGGCTGACCTCTATCCGTGGCCTCGCTGCTACCGGTTGCGTTCACTCGTCTCGTTGCAATCACTTTCTTGTCTTGGTCAGGTGTCATTTTATGGGTTTGTGTAATCTTAGCAAAAGTGATATTCGTACAGTGTTTCCAATACAAGTGTTTATGGCAAAGCATAGTGTATTGTTTGTGTCAGGCGCATTTGCGTCACTAGATGGTTTCATAGACAACAAAAAATTGTTTTTATTAATCGTGTAAGTGTGGTTAAGTTTGTGTCTGTTCCTCTGCAACGTTAACATTATTTTTTATGTTTGCGTACTATATTCATCGACAATTTTACATCATCATTATTTATTATTGCAACGGGTTCCACTAAGTTTTGAAATGAATTCGAAATATATCGTTCTAATGGTTCGACCTGTTTTACAAAGTAGGTAATGATTGACAATGTCACTTGGTAATTCCTTTTCTAAAATGATATGTATCTAAATAATTATATACTAGTATTATTAAAAGACGGTTTTTTTCCTAATATGAAGTACATGTATTTTTACTACTCGTACATATAACAGCTGTATATGTTTGTTTCTCAATTTTACTAATATAATAAAATTGTACTATACATAAGTATATATTTAAGTAATAAAATTTACAGGGAGATTAAGAGAGATAAAACAATATTTTTTAGAATATTTGTATCTGTTTATTTATTGCGGTGTCACGCAAAGATTACTGTATAAATTAAAAGCGGTTTTTACAGTTGTTTTTCTGATGATCTAACTTAAAATCTGGTTTGTTTCATCTTGATACGCCATTTAGAATTGGTCATATATTGGTTGCAAAATTCACATATACGAAGTTGCGGAAAAAAAAAAGTAGTTATATGTAGTAGTTTGTAGTTCTATAATATGCTATGTAAACATTTTGAAATAGTTTTTCAATATACCATCTAGGTATCATGTGTACATGCTATATCATCGAAAAAAAAATGGGCATGAGCTAGCAGAACTTGTGTTATCATATTTCTGTAATTAGGTAGGTTTATTACAATAAGGTTTATAGTACGAGTGTATGGCTATAAACAATAAATTACGCCTTATCTTTTGCTTCATTTAAAGATTTAATTTTTATTTTCATTTTTATTTATTTGGAGTACTTGGTTCTACGTCATTCTGCATTGATAGGTATATCTTTGAATAGCTGAATGTATTGTTCTAAGATGTAAATAATTTTAATAGCAATAGACCCTAGGGGAGTAGATTGGTAGCTCTGGAGTCTAGCTGCCCCATTATCGCTGTCGACCTCCATGCTATCCATGGTTAATTCCTGGTGAATTTGTTACGATCGGCCAAGTGATTTGACCTCTGTCCTCACTCACAGAGTATATTAATAGCACAGGCAAGATTACCTTTCCATTCATAAATTTATAAAAATCCCGTATTTTTAGTTCAGTATGTTGATGTGATATTAGCCCTTAACTGGCCATTGCTGAACATAGGCCTCTCCTTGGAGAGTTTTACCGACAGTAGCCACGCTTGGCGAGTGTATGGCTATAAACAATAAATTACGCCTTATCTTTTGCTTCATTTAAAGATTTAATTTTTATTTTCATTTTTATTTATTTGGAGTACTTGGTTCTACGTCATCCTGTATTGATAGGTATATCTTTGAATAGCTGAATATATTGTTCTAAGATGTAAATAATTTTAATAGCAATAGACCCTGGGGGAGTAGATTGGTAGCGAATTGACAACCGCAGATAGGCTTTGGTGATGTTTTCTAGAGGGACATTGCTGCTCAACCCTCGAACATTAAGTTCCCTTAGTGGCTTTTTAGTTAGCTTATACTTAAAACTAACTTATTATTTTCTGTAACAGATTCAAAATAATATAATAACTATTCCAACTATTTATTTCGTAATGCGCAATAAGTGTCGAGAAATATAACCACAGAAAAGCAACATAATTATTTCACTCTGTCAAGTAACTGAATGATTTTTAATGTATTCATTTAGCAGTGAAACGCATGAAGGTTATTTAGTTTAAACAAGCGTTGTCCTCTTGTTTCTTCCTGCATTTTGTCTATGTCACATTATGTAAAACAACTCTATGTAATGTGAATATTCAAGTTTTTTTTTTTCATAATTATATGTCATAATTTTTGTGTGCGCAGCGGTCACAGCGGCGGTCACGATGCCTGGGGGAGGAGGCGCCCCTCCCGGTACACCATCGGCCAAACCAAAGGTATTGATTGTGTAAAATTATTTTGTTATTGCCACCAATAAAATTGTATATTTTATTCACAGTGAAGCTTAGTTGGCGATAAGGTCGACTGTGGTTTATCAGTCGATCGTGAATGTGGGATAGGGTTTTTTTAATGAATAATAATGGAATGGTTACCCTGCGCGTGCTCACGGTATACACTGGCAGGGCACCAGTGAGGATTGATAGGTGAGAATAAAAAGGCAGGCCAGTTATCCCATCGTGATGAATACACGTGGAATTCAGCACAATGGTTTCCAAGGGGGACTACGTGAAGGTCGACCTGAGTACATTTATAGCAATAAGACTGGTAGTTCGCATTACTAACAATCCCTTTCCCCCGGTAGTACGGGTAAACCGCGAGAGTTTAGAGAATTACAATGCATTACAATTTTATTTAATAATTAATGACAAGGTATGAGGGGTATCATGGGCGACACATACTCTGTTATATCCACGGTGCTATTCATGTTTACAGACGACAGTTACTACTTTCAATTAGGTGGGCTGTTTGTTCGTTTGCCGTTCCACGTTGCATAAAAAAATTACAAAAAGAAAAAAATAATGGGTGCAATTTGAAACAACCCATCTACTCGTATCTTTTAAAAAAATATATTATACATACTAAAGACGCAATTCTTTGGATTAGACAAAACCAAAAGTCTTTTGTACATATAATGAATATAAAAATCAGTATTTTTAAAGTATTTTACACAGTATTTTAATAGATTACAATTTAATGGTGTTATCATTGTCTTTTATAGGTATCTATTGTATATGCAGTTTTAATTTTATTGAATTTTTATTGTTATTAAAAAAATTGCTTATTATATATTTTTTTTTTAAATTCTAATTTACAGGATAAACAAAGGACCAAAGTAGTAGTAGCACTCTATCCATTCAAGGCGATTGAAAGCGGTGATCTTTCGTTAGAGAAGGTAAGTGATCTTAATATTAAATATATAATATTGTAAACGGCATACAATTATCGCGTTTGCAACTCAATGAGTATTTCGTAACTTTAAAAGTTGACATTTGAGTGGTTTGCTAATTGCACACTCACTGTTGCATATAAACTTTGCATAATTTTAATGCAACTATTATATAAATATTACGAAATTTGACTGATGAAACGTTATTCAATGAAAAATATTAGCGGTCGAAACTGCGGTTTTAATATGTGTTCGATGCAGTACGAAATGAACACCGAACACTGACGTCACACGCATATGAATCTGCGTACGAATACAAAAAAGACTAGTGCTGTATTCGTCGCCGTAACATGTATTCATTAAAACCTATAGTTTTATTACATTTGTGACTAAAATTCTTATTTATTAAGGAGATTACATATTTTATAATGTTATTACATACTTACTTATCTACATTTTAATTACAATAATGTTTTGTAATAATAATAATAACCAGTCAAATTTTTGTTCCGTACCCGACCCAAGGGTAGTCCCCATGACGCTTGCGGCATTTCCGCGTTGGATTGCCAGAGTAACTTATTGTCATTGTAACTTAATTATTACATTTAACGGGAACAACATTTATTATTTAACCTTAACACCAACCGCATTACCTAACCCAGCAATATGAGTTATTATTGTTGTTCGTAGTCTTGTGCTTCATGACATAGTTTATCCTAGTTCGAGGACCAGGCGACTGGTGTTGTGGTGTGGCATTTATTATTAATAATATAATATTAAGATTTGATATTTACATAGTTGTCAATAGTTGCCATATATTAATTATTGCATCTCAATATTCATAAAAAAATCTAATACACGTATTTTGAATTTGTATTTTTTTTCTTTCTCAATTAAAAATTATACTGAATTAAAAAGAGACAGAGAGCACTGATATTATAATTAAAATAATTTTAAAGAGAATTTCAGTTTTTAAATATTATATTTATTTTTATTACGTGTAGTCTATTTAAGGATATCTGTAGGTACTTCCTATAAGTTTGATGGTAGAGCTATTAATATAATTCCGTCTGATTCATCGTGGATTTTATGGCTAATACACATAAATACATAATACATACACAGTAGGATAAAATTACTTTCTATATAAATTAACTGTTTACTTGATATTGTCTATAATATATCTGTATTATAACATATTATTGCGATTATTTTGGAAATAATATGATAATTGATTGAAGTATAAATTGGTATATATCAAATATAACAACGAACTATGTACAATGACTAATTAATAAAACGAGTATATTTATTACGTAAAAGTTGAAGATAATTTTGATTTAATTGATCGCATGTGTTATAGATGCCATGAGGCAGTTGTTTCTATGGCTGTGTTTCCATGTGAAGGATAACATATGGCAATAAAATTACAAGGTACATAACACCATAGTCCTCAGGAATGGCAACGCATGAAGGATAACATGGACGACACAGTATGTTCTGTTATATTTATGGTACTATTCATGTCTATAAGCAACAGTTACTACTTTCCATTAGATGGACTGCCGGTTTGTTTTGCTATTCTAAATAAACGACTACAAATAATTTTTTTTATGCAACTTAGAATGGCAAATAAGCTGACGTCATACCTGATGGAAAGTGGTAACCGTCGCCTATAGACATGAGCAGTACCATGGAAATAACAAAGTATACTGTTTCGCCCTTGATACCCCCCATACGTTGCCATTCCTGAGGACTCAGATGTTATTCTTCTGTACCCCGTAAATTCACTGCCATATCCCACTTTTCAATCTGTAACAGCCATACAAACACAATTGCTTCACGGTAGAAACACGAATAAGACAGAGGTGCCCAAGCAAACGACTTTTGTACAAAGTCTTCCTCTGGTAATGAGTAGATGTCTGTATAAAATAAGGCGGCTTTAGTACTACTGAAAGCAATATTTTCAAATAGCAAATTCAACGGCTACTTAAAGTTATCTAAAATTCGGTGCGTGTTATTTCCTTTACACAAAAGACCAGCTATGTATTCATATAATCAATTTATATCTCCGAAAATTGCCTTACAAATGCATATAATTAAATTACACTTCTTTCAATAAGGCTCCAAATTGGTTTATTGTTCGCAGGGCGCCGAATACGAAGTCATTGACGATTCACAGGAGCATTGGTGGAAAGTTAAAGATGAAAATGGGTCGGTATTTTATATGCACCACTGTGTTCACGATATAGCTGTTATAAAGAGATTTTTCTTAACGTTAATTTCGTTTTGTTTTAGGTCTATTGGATATATACCTAGTAATTACGTTAAGGAAAAGGAAACCATAGGGTTACAAAAATATGAGTAAGTGTATTTTTACGTGGTTTATATATTATATATAATAGTATTCAAAGTTTCGCGATGTGTCAGCAATCAACAATATTAATATACACAGCGTTTACAAAGCTGCTTCTAGCCCTATTATGGAAACAGTAATGTTGATTTTTTTTTAAATAGATGGAGTTTAATGTATTAAAAAAATATATATTCGCCTTTAAAGCTTTTCTAAGATATTTCAAGTTTATCAAATTTTGTACTCATTCATATTCATTCGTATACGATAGTAAGAGACCCACACGAAAGTTTTTTCATAAATAAAAAAAAATTGTTAAAATCGCTTCATAATTCGCGAATTCGTTATTCATTAGTTTACTTTTATTATATTAAAAAAGATTGTCGTGTGATCCCAGCATAAAATGGACCACCCGTTCTTTTTCCGTGGATGTCGTAAGAAGCAACTAAGGGAGCTCAATGATTAAGAGATGGGCACCAACCCTTTTAAAATACCACCAAAGCCCTTATGGGGAAAGCCCATGTTCAGCAGTAAACAGTTAATGGCTAATAATAAGAAATATAAAATATTACAAAAATAGAAGATGAAGTCTAATTGGGTATGAATTTTCTATTACAGATGGTATGTCGGTGAAATGTCTCGACAGCACGCTGAATCATTGCTCAAGCAGGAGGATAAGGAAGGATGTTTTGTTGTCCGCAACTCTTCCACAAAGGGCATGTACACACTTTCGCTGTATACCAAATTGTAAGTTTGCTTACTATTTCATTACTGATTCTTATATTACTTAAAAATTTTGTTATAATTTTGGAAATATGCCAATAGGAAATATACTAATAGCCTGTACTCTTCCCCCGCTAAGATTTTACATATTGTTTTATTGTTCTCTATAACAAATTTTAACACTGAAATGTTTTGTGCAGTTTCTTTATCTAAAACAAGAGGAGGATAAAAGTTCACGTGATTTTTATTGCCCCCCGCTCCCCCTCCCTCTGTGAATGGTATTTACTAAGATTTTTACTTCTCCCATGCTTATTTTAAGTTCACATAAATAATGAACACTTGCTTTTCCTTCCAGTAATCACCCGCAGACAAAACACTACCATATAAAGCAGAACACTCGTGGGGAGTTCTACCTATCGGACAAGCACTGCTGTCCGAGTATACCCGAGCTAATCAACTACCACAAGCACAACAGCGGTGGGCTATGCTCGCGCCTTAAGACGACGCCCTGCGACAGGCCTGCGCCGCCTACAGCCGGCTTATCGCACGGTTAGATATCACTATTATAATTGGCAATTTTATTGTGAATTATTTACGGTATACATATTGTAACAGTGACTCATAATTACAAAACTTGATACATGTGGCAGTTACAAATGCACAATCTTTATAATGTGTAATAAATATTTAGTGTTTTTGTCTATACTATTAGTTTAGTACCTATTTTAGCTGTAAAATTGTTCTCTTTTCTTTATATAATTAGTTTGAGAATAATAATAATGAATAGCCCAGGACATTAATATTAAACTCATTGGAACTTATATATACATAATTACTAGATAATATTTTTTACACATATTAATTTTTTTATTTGTGTTAAATGTTTTGTAAACATTGTAAACAGTTCCCACTGTTTCTTTTGTTTTGTTAGTACTGTGAGGCAGTGCTATGTTAAAGAATATCGAGCGTTACTTACCTTTGAACAATTGTAACAAGTCGCAGTAGCCAATGATTTCCTTGCCGTACAGTAGAGATATCATTGGATATTTGTAACCAGAACACAGAATGCAAACGACTTACTTTGCGGCTTTGTCTTCGTGTAACGGCTTTATGTGGTAAAACAGTAATAAATATACAATTTACATTATAGACAAATGGGAGATAGACCCGTCAGAACTGGTACTCCTGGAGGAGCTGGGCGCGGGGCAATTCGGTGTGGTGCGACGCGGCAGGTGGTGTGGTTACATCGATACCGCCGTCAAAATGATGAAGGAGGGCACTATGTCAGAGGACGATTTTATAGAAGAAGCCAAGGTTATGACGTGAGTGTCACTGTTTTTCTAATAATAGTATCCAACATGATGTAGTAGATAGGTACCCTTTATTGTTCCCTCCAACAGATTACAATAGTTAATTTAGCAAAATCATAGAAAAAAATACAAGATAAGAGCACGCTGAGAAAACAACGAGTGGTCTTATCGCTAAAAGCAATTTTTTAAGGCAAACTTTAGACGGAGAGTAGTATTTATAAACAATTGATTATAATAAAAAAGGTTTTAATGATAATTTTGCCTTTTTTAATCTTTTTTTGGGATAACAACAGCTTTTTACAAAATTGAATACATATTACATTTTTTTTATGTTTATTTTTTTATTTTAAATGAAATCTAATAAATAAAGAAGGACAATATTTGGAATGGATTTAATATAGACATTTTACGGACAGTCATAACCTACGTATTAATTATATCAATTATATATTATGCAGTATAACCATTATTTTCTGCCTTAATTCCGAGACTTCATTTTAGAAATTTTACTTAACAATTTTTTTTAGAAAATTGAAACATGACAACCTAGTTCAGTTATACGGCGTGTGCTCCAAACACCGACCCATTTACATTGTGACTGAATACATGAGGCACGGCTCGTTGTTTAACTATCTTCGCCGTACTTCTCCCGACCAACTCGGACCCGCCGTGTTGCTTGGTATGTGCATACAAGTAAGTATATATTTTTTAATTATTCTACATGTACAAATATATAAACGCTTGTGGTACAAATAATATAAAATCTACTTTAAATTTCAAATTAAGAACATATGTTTTTGAAGAATTTAATTTCTAGGATCGTGTATTTATTACGTCATAAATTAAAAAGAATGCTGAATACAATATTTTAAATTATGATAATAATTTAATAAATATTTACAGGTTTGCAATGGAATGGCATATTTAGAAAAACAAAATTATATTCATCGAGATTTAGCTGCAAGAAATTGTTTGGTTGGAGATGGAAAAGTAGTGAAAGTAAGTTTTTGGTTCATTATTATTGACAAATTTTTTGTCCCATATTGGCCTAAGATCTCGTGGCAAATTTTTCCAGATACGTGACCTATCAATAATATTTGTTTAAATGAAAGATTAACAATAACGTGATACAATGCAGTCGGGTTGCTAAGCAAATCGCTTTTAATTAATTATAGTATAATTGATATGAAATTACAGCATAATTGATATTTAATTATAGCATAAGTGATGAATTGCATATATAAAACTTTTAGATGAATTAAACAGCATTTGAAAGTAAATATTGTGAAGAATGTAAAGACAAGTTGTTTGCCGCAACATACGGGGTTCGTTAAAAATAAGTGACAGTATTAAAAATTTTGCCCTCATGCTTTATGATAAAACTTACATTATTTATTTTATTTATTTATTCTTTATTGTACACAAAAGGTTATAAAAATGTAAAAACAAACATAATAGTGCACAAAGGCGAGCTTATCTCCAATAGAGAGTATTTAATGGGAGTATAATATATTTTTTATTTATATTGACCTATACAAACAACTGCAGGAAAGTTGTCAAGTTGTTACTTTTGCTTTAGATGAATGGTGCTGTAGTTATAGGATAAGGTGTATTTATTTTTCTAATTTTTATCTGTAAAGTATTTATTACATTGTGCTATAAGCTTTGTAGCACAATGCCTATAATTTACGATAATTATAATTATATGATATTTAATTGAAAATATCCATTAAATAATGTTTAGGGAACATCCAAAGCCGTAGCGAGATCTAATACTATATTCAAATTGTAAAAAATATCAAAGTATGGTATTTTCATATACTTTCCTTTTTTATATAGTAATCTGTAGTTAATGTTGTTGGTAGTACAATTTTAATCATATTTAAATATAAGCTTATTATCATAGTATATATAATTACTACTTAACATAATAAAATAAAAACCTTATAATTATTTTGTACTCCATAATTATAGAAAAAAGCGTAATAAGCGATTTGTTCAGAAGGTATTTTTAATATTGCTATATTTTATTATGTGTTTATTGAAGTATTTACTTTTATGTTTTCAGGTGGCTGATTTCGGATTGGCGCGATACGTTTTAGACGATCAATATACGAGTTCTGGCGGTACAAAGTTTCCCATCAAATGGGCGCCACCAGAAGTTCTCAATTATACGAGATTCTCATCAAAATCTGATGTTTGGGCCTTTGGTAAGTATTGCAATACATTACTAATGAAACAACCTTTCAGTTATATATATATATTTTTTTTTTTTTTCATTCAAATATATATTTTTTAATAATGATAAATCGTTATAAACAGTTACATTTTAAGAAAAAATATGTAGTCATATTTATTAATTTATAATTAGTGTGCAAGCACTATTCTCCTGTTTGTGATTACACTTTTCTCTATTAACCGATTAGAAAATGAATGAATTCGTTATCTCAATATATCATTGACCTCATAGATTTAAAACCATGGACGTAATGAATAACTTTTCATTACGTCCATGGTTTTAAGTCTGTGGTCGTCACACTAGTATAATCAAGGACCACATAGGACAATGTGATGTATCAATGCGGATGTACATTCGTCGTTGCCGTAACTTCTACCTTTCGTAATCCGCTTGTTTAGAGCAAGCGAATGGGTCGCAGGAGAAAATTTATACCTGTACACATAGTTCTATTAAGTTTATGAGCAAAATAATATTTTGTTATTGTCGTCTTTTCATTATATTTTGATATTACCAGATGAATGAATGAAAATAATACTTGACAGTTAAAAAGTCCTCTAATCAGATAGTAATCACTATCTGTCCATTTTCTTTCTGGTATAAACGGAAGTGAAAGACGACATAATTTCAGCTTTAGTAACTTTTTTTTTATTGGGATATGAAATCATTTACTAAAATTGTTTACTTTGTCGCGGACCGCACAAATATCGGCCGCTTGCAGCCCGCAGGCTGCAGTTTACCAACCAGGGGAAGTGTAAAACATTTCAAGCCCTTAAAGCAATTTAAGGGCTTGAAATATTTTACACTTCCCCTTAGTTAATGACTGTTGTCTTTATACGAATGTGTCTTCTTGTTAATTTCATTATCTTGCTTAATTTTATTAATCACTCATGATTTGCCAACGCATATGCGACACTTAAGGTGTTAGCTGTCAAAAGGCTATAGATAGTAACTATCAGATACGTCATATATATTAGTATTTTGTGATGTATTAAAATGAAATATTTTCTAAAGAACAATATTTTTTTTTTTTAGGAGTACTTATGTGGGAAGTATTTACATGCGGTCAGGTGCCATATGGTCGAATGAAAAATTCTGAAGTCGTGGATATGGTACAGAAAGGTCAAGTTCTTGAGAAACCCAAAGGCTGTTTGAACGAAATATACAGTGTAAGTAACGATTAATTGATATATTTTTATACATTTCTTTGATATGGAATGTCAAACAAGTTGACACCTCACATATAGGTATTATTAACAGTACCTTAACATTATTAGTATAGAAGAGAGAGGTTTTGTCTATAGTTGTCTAATGGAGTATCATTTAGATAGGATCTACAAAGATGACAATGAAAAAAAAGTAACATGGGTGTTCCAGTGCATTTTTTTATATTTATGTTGTTAGGCGATGTTTTTCATGTACCATCTGATAACCTTATAAATATTAGCAAATAATTGCAAATTTAATAAGGACAAACACTAAAACAGACCACAAATACTCTTTTGCTTATCACATTCCTTGACAATTGTTATGTTCATTATAATAATTGTTAAAAAATGTAATAATATTTAATCGCCGATGGTGAGTCTTGCCATTACTGAGCGAAGTTGATATCATATCATTACCATTTTTACAGGTGATGCGGGCTTGCTGGAGACATATGCCTGACGAGCGGCCGTCATTCCGCGTGCTCATGGACAAGCTGACGACGATTGAACGTACCGTGTTGGCCGATTGACTGCGGCTACTGTTGCAGTTGCTGCATCCCGCTGCGTCGCTACCTGCTCCTCAATCGCGTTCTCACCCCACCGCAACCCTGCCTCGCGCCCGTCGCTTGCATGCCGCATCGCCAGTTTGAGCAGCACCGTCGGTGTATCCACTCATCTGTACACTTGCTGGGGCCGTATTTACTGTAGGGTTGTAAAAATCGCCCAACCATGAGTATCTTCACAGAACCTATGTGGCCAATTGTAGGTACACTCACGTCGCGATGTAATGAGGGGTGTGACAAATCATGTTGGCAGTTTCACATAGTGTGTTAAAAACTAGATAATGTCGGTTCAGCCTATGCATCTGTATGTGTGAGTGAAGCTACAATGGACCTATATAACTGGGTTTCTGTCGGGATATTTATTCATTTGATTCAACTGCAGTTAATAAAATGCCGTCCGTATCGTAACTTCACTGGTTGAAAGGTCGTCGCACAATGACAATTATTCAATTAATGATTAAAGGGTATCGTATATTATATATAAATACAATATACAATAATATCTCAATCAATTTACTGGTCTGAAGACGCATTTTCGATGTCAGTAAAATGTTTTACAATCTTTTAATGTAAGACTCACTTTGTTTCCGATCTTTTCTTATCATCTCAAATTATAAATATGATTTTATATTTTTTGCAATATATGTGTCAGATACGTGAAAATAATGTATGTATATAAGATTATAAAATTGTAATTAATTTGTAGGAAGACAATTGAGTATTCAGTTATTAATTATGACTTCATGTGTGACAACCTTAAACACGAATGCGTACGTTTGTTGGTGGTTGGAGAGAAGTGTGAGAAGAAGTATATATAAATGTCGGGGGTAGTGCGTATTTGCTTTATAGCAACGCTCCTATATTGCAACCATTAATGGGTTGTTTAAACCCATTGACACTCATTGAAGACGTAAATAAAACGTTAATCATTGAGCATTATTTTATGATACTTCATAATTGGCGCTAGTTATATATACATATATGCAGTCTTGGACGAAAGTATTTGCTACCTTAGAAAATTACAACTGGCTTAAAAAAAAATCCAATTCCTGAGGCAGACATGCAGCCCCAGACCATAATATTGCCTCTGCCGTGTTTTACAGTCGGCACCACACACTCCGATATTAATTCTTCGCCAACTCTGCATCTCACGTAAGTGGCACCTGCAATTCCAAAAATGTACCTGAAATTTAATAAAATAATAAAATTTTTGAAAATACGTCTGTTAATGAACCATTAACTTCATTACATCTCAAATGTATTTGTAACATTAAATAGTTTAAATGACATACATTAAAATTGGATTCCTCCGACGAACTGATATTCATCTAATCTTCCTCGGTGTAATGTTGATATTCTAAATACCACTGCAAACGTAAGTTCTTGTTATTCTCAGACAGCCATGACTTCTTCCTTGCCTTGCAACCTCCATCATCCTGCAGCCTGCATCTTGGAGCCTTCTTTTAATTGTTCCAGCAGATTTTTTTTACCCAGCGTCTCGCTTAGTTCACCAGTTAATTCAGATATTTTCTTACGATTTTGCAAAGAAGTTCGCATTAACTGTTTATCTTCTCTTGCAGATGTAATTCTTTTCCTTCCACTTCGTTTCAAGATTTCGTGTCTTGTGGGTATCTTATACCGATTTAAGGTATACCTTACAGTACTATGAGGACATTTCATGGTTTTGACAATTGGCAAAAATCAATGGCAAACTTTTTGCCTTCTTCAGACAATAACTGGACTTTTTAATCGTTCATCGTTACTTAATTCAGGGCGCTAAGGCATTTTTCTAGTTTTTTATGAACTGCCTCACGTAAAACAATAACTAATTTACAATAATTTGTCGACCATTCTTCGTACTATGATGAATCGTGGTAAATTAAAAATTTGCCTAAAATTCGATTTACCTGAAAATGAATCACATTTATTGTGTTGTTTTATGACGTGGTGCGCTGTTTTTATTTATAATATTATTTTAATCTTTAGATGTATACTATTCGACATTGTCGACCATTCTTCGTACTATGATGAATCGTGGTAAATTAAAAATTTGCCTAAAATTCGATTTACCTGAAAATGAATCACATTTATTGTGTTGTTTTATGACGTGGTGCGCTGTTTTTATTTATAATATTATTTTAATCTTTAGATGTATACTATTCGACATTGTCGACCATTCTTCGTACTATGATGAATCGTGGTAAATTAAAAATTTGCCTAAAATTCGATTTACCTGAAAATGAATCACATTTATTGTGTTGTTTTATGACGTGGTGCGCTGTTTTTATTTATAATATTATTTTAATCTTTAGATGTATACTATTCGACATTACACCCAGTATCGATCAGTAGATAAGAAATTTCCAAGAATTTTAAGGGTGGTAAATACTTTAGGCTAAGGCTGTATTATTATAGAAGAGTCACATTATAGGTAATATATGGATATCCCAGGGGAAGCCCATATCACATAGCTGTTTTCTGTATAACTAGCTCCAATTTTAATGTAATAACTACCGGTTTAACTTACGTGTATTTAGATCTAAAAAGCTCGACTAGTTCCGGAATTAATCCGTGATCCCTAGTCATGAGCGACTGTGACACGAGCACGAGCGTGACTGCGTGCCTCGGCTCGCTGAGCGCGAACTGTTGGCGTTGTAGCTCCAATTTGCCTTCAGTTGTGCAAACTGTAACTATTTGTGACGGTCATGTGTTTACATTCGTCGTAATGATACACAGAGAAAAATGGATTATATTTTGATTGTAAAATTACTATTAATAATGTGATGAAGATGGGTTTATTCCCAATATTAACGTTTTTTTATTGAACATTGACAAAATTAATGAACACTGACGTTTTGGTAAACATTGCATTTTAATTTTTTTATTACAATTTATTCAACGTTTTAATGAAAAAGAGCTATTTTAGAACAGGGTTTTGTATGAATAAGATTTACTAATAACTATTATCTACATCGAATTTGACAATAAGCTTATTTTAACCAGAAATAAAACTATTCCATTTTATGTCTGGTTAAATAAGTGTTTACTAATGTAATACTTATATATGGAATTGAATGAATTTTTTACAATCCGCAAAATGGTTTAGTAATTAGTTTCGTTTATAGATTCAAAAAACTTGTAGGTCTTCAATGTGCCAATTGAAAGAAGTTCGAATTGAAGTAGTTTGTCGCAAACATGCTACGTCCAGTGCCAGACTTTTTGTTGACAATGTGATGTACTTATTATGGGTCCTATAGATGGAGCGGTAATCGTAATGATTAATAATTCGATTTTAAAATCTGGAGTTATTATATATGTGGCGATTTTGTTTTTCTCATTTTTTTTTGTCGAATACCCCATCACAAATATCAAAGAATAACTTTATAAATATACGACCTAAAGCTCGTTAATTATCAGGCGCAAATTTGTTTGCCACTTTTTGGGCAGACCTGAAAATATTTAGCCATTTACATTTTATTTTTATTAAATCGTGCGAGACCGATGTAAATAGATGGTTACGATTATCGTTATAATTTATCGCCGTTTGTATGTATATGTGAGGCGTAAGTTATTGGCAAGAAACAAAATGAATGTGATAACATGTTGAGCCTAATTGGAATTGGTCAACTTTATATAAATAAGTCTTAAATAACAGTGTAGTCTAGCAAAAGAAAAAAATCTGAGCGGATCTCGAGTTGCATCTATAACTCTAAACGATTGTCTAGTCCGCACCGCGCATAGTTCGTGTATGAGTTTTAATACAGTTAGGAAGTAATGGTAGTCAATCAGATTTATACGGTGATATTAATAACTTCTCATCCTCATATCATTACCTATCAAAGTTATAAATGTATATACAGTACTGTAGGTATTTAATAGCTTAGATATTATTAAAATTTGTAAATTTAATGTTTTATTATAAAAAGGTATTAGAGAGTTAATATTCAGTTATTGCGATTTCTCATTGAATTATATAAATTAGACCCCTCATTTCTTTTTTAAGCTTGTCCCGTGTATTTTTTAAACAATGCAGTATTCATACATTCCTTTTAACTAGTCACGTTTAGTGATGTGTAATCAAATGTTTGTTTACACATTTGTGGTAATTTTCAATTATTTTCAAATATTATTCATTTGTGTTAGTGGAGTGTATTAATGTTTTAAGTAATATTTCTTTTATAACACTGAGGTGGCAAACAAGCGTACGGTGCGAATGGAGCTTATTTCACTTAGGTTGAGTAAATTTCGTCCCAATAAGGCAATGAAAGAAATGGTATTATATATTATGAAAGAATTTGTATATTGAATGTACGATGGTGTTGGGTCGCAATTTACTTCGCTGTGAAAGGGGCCTTAGTTGATACGGCAATGACACTTCTTAAAATGTGCCAATTATTCCACACAACCTATATAATAGACATTTAGTACACTGTTTAAGGGATTTACGACTGAATATTATTAAATTTTGAGTGAAGGATTTTGAAGTAGTTTTGAAGAAGTATCCTTCTTATTTAAACTTACAATCCATAAAATTATGGGTAATATACATATAAACAATAGTATTTTAATTTTCGAATATATTGTACATGATTTTGTTGTGATAATTTTTATTAGGACTTAATAATAACTATTAAGTATTACATATAATGTTAAATAAAAAAAGACTAGTTTGAAATTATGAGACATGGTAACTCCTTTTTAACTTTGAACAGCACAGTAAGAAGTAAGTAGGAATGTTAACTATAAACATAATCATGGATACCATGTTCAAATAGTGTAATTCGCTTCCGAATTGTACAATTACTCTATTCATTTGTATAACGTATTTGTAAACTACCTATTAAGGAAGTAAAATGATTATTATAAATAATATGGTTTCATTTGATATCAATAAATTATATTATTCAGCAGTACCATATACTATTATTAATTCAGTTCCACTTAAAATGATATTTTACCTAACTAGTCTGTAGCTCGCTATTTCATATCGCATGTATTCTAGAAGTAGGAACACTAATGGAAGAGATGACATAGATGACATTTCAATATAAAACAAGTACACAAGATTTTAAGTTAGACTTTAGCTTGCATGATGCCGAAACAAACATAGACAGACACAAAATTTCTAATAGTTTCTAGTAATTTTATTAAGATCCCTCATATAACTTTTTCTTAAATACAATATAGTTAGGTGAGATGTCTCATCGTAATGGCCATCGCTCATCAGGAATTAAAGAGGATGAGTTCTAAGGGATACCATGGGGAGGTCGATCTCATAGGATATATTGCTAATAATTCGGCTGCTAGTCACTACTACTAAGAATTTGGTACACCGGTAAACTACATTCAGTCAGAATTTACAGAATTCACGCGGGGCAAAGTTACAAATGTCATGAAGCGAAAAAGAAAATTAGATTTAGATCAGACAAAGATTTAATCGACCTAAAAAAGGAGTTTCTACATTTGATTCGTAAAATAACTCCTTACTTAGCCAATTATAAACATCTTTCATCATTTTTTTTATACAACTTAGAATGGCAAACAAGCTGACGGTCCACCTGATGGAAAGTGGTAACCGTCGCCTATAGACATGAGCAGTATCTGTATAACATTATGATACAACACTAAAAAGTAGATGTGCGTGCAATTTACATGTGGGTAATAAAATAAAACTTTATTGCCTCTTAACATTATATTAGTATCTTGACATATTACAACTTAACAATAAATTATATATTTCTATAATTTTGCTATAGTCTAAAATATTAACATAACGGAATGCTTTACATATACCTATTTCCGTAACAAAAAAAAAAAGTAAATACTGCAATATTTTTAATGTTTAGTTTTTAATTTTTGACCGCTTCGCTTTATAGAAGGTGCCGTGTCTCTAGCATTTGACAACTCAAACCAGCAACTTTATATTGTAGATCTTTGGTTTATCTAATATTTCAAAATAAATAATTTTATATTTCACGACTATTACAAATAATTTCAATATATGATAATTCTTATAATCTGAATGTAATTACCATATAAGTGTAAATAGGTTCTCTGTCGGATTTATCCGACTAGAGTGGTTAAAAGATATAAACGCTAAATTAGTAAATTACATAAATTTCCTATTATCAATAGTGCTGTTTAGCGCTGTGCCTAGAGTGCTTTGAGGTAAACCAACAAATAATTTTACTAGTTACCTAATTTGTTGTACTGCTTATTTTAATGAATTATATAAGTTATAAATTAATTTATTATTCAAGTTATGAAATATTAAGAGGTCGATTAATAGTTTAAGGACTGAAGTATCATCAATAGGGATGCCTAATTAAAAATTAGAAATATTACAAATTCTTAGAAAATCTAAACAAGAGTCGTACCCTGTCGTTTTCAGGATTTTGAAATAAGTATTATATACATATAATATAGTGGAGCCGATTTCTTCCTCACAACATTTGTTGATTTTTGATACTTTGCTATTAAAAATAGAGAACTTAAGTAAAAATGGCTTATAACCTATTACTGTGAGGGTTATAATCTTTTTTATTATACATAAATATAAAATAAGTAAATCATTCAGGTACTCATTATATAGTTTTAGAGCACGAGGAAGAAATTGATATGCAATATACAGCTAAATATCTACATAGTATAAAACAAAGTCGCTTCCCGCCGTCTGTACAAAGTACGTAACGGATTTTAATGTGGTTTTCATTTCATTAGAAGAGTGATTCAAGAGGAAGATTTATACGTATAATTTAAAATAGTTTTGTTCAAGATGTCGAAAGAAATTAAGTCGATTGAGAGCTTTTTTCGAAAATATTGAAATATAATAATGTATGATGGAATTGTTCCTCTTTATTAGCTCTACAAAAAAGTACGCGATGCCATTTCATACATTATACAAATAAAATTTTATAGCCATTTAATGTTTAAAAAGATTGTACAAATTATGTGGAGTTTGGAATGTTATTTAGACGGATACAATAGTAATATTAATCACTCCACATGGACACCACATTATTTATACATTGTACCCGTGCGAAGCCGGGGCAAGTCGCTAGTTATATATAAAAATCAACCATACTTATCATCTATTTAATTACTTTAGTTAAACAAAATAAACATGAAATATGTAGTATACATACGTACTAATATTAATGAACACTGATGAAAATTATGTGATCTACTCTGGAAATTACAAAGGTATTACAAAATTAACAAATTTATTGCAGCAAATTAAGTTGGATAAAAAGGAATGTTTGTATTGATAGATAACAAAACTGACTGATACAAACTAATGAAGTTTGTACCTACTAGAAAACAAGCAATTTTGGATGAAATTCGAATTTGTTGTTTCACGGTAAAGTCCAACTTCTATTCAAAATCATTATAAGTAATAAAATTCTTAACAATTGTTTCCCCTCACACAGTTCTGTTAGGAAAATCATCATCGAAATCTTAATTAACAATCTAAAAGTAGCAAACATTACTTTTCTTCGGTTTGGTGAATATAATTCACAAATTGTGGCCAGAACTGAAACTATTTTCTTATTAATTTCTCTTATCTACGTAATTACAATTATATTATAAATTATAATCATGTTTTAATTATTTATAAGTAGTAGATACAAATTAGAATTACATGAGAATGTGCTTACGAGTATACAAATATAAGAGCTTTTGCTTTAAGCGGTTAGGCTGTGACTAGAATACAAACAATCTTATTAATTGCATTTGTACAAAGTTAATCGTAATGAGTCTATTAAGCCACTCCCTGTGTAAGAATTATGTACAGAAAAAAATTGTTTATATTTGTTATCAATTCTCATTTTTGACGTTTTATATTACCTTAAATTTATTAACTAGGGAATAGTAATAAATATTGATGATTGCCTATTAAATTTTCATGAAATTTAAATTTAAGGTATAAAAAAGATCTATATGTTTTTGTAAAGCTTATTGTTCACGTTACTTGTGGTTAAAAGTTTCAGGTTTAGGTGTAGTGATAAACTAATAAAAATAGGTTATTGAGTTATGGAAAATATTTTTACAAATTAAAATAATTGTCGGTTACTTTGTTTTTATGGACATTTCAATAAAAATACGTCAAAACAAACATTTAAAATACATGTAGGTATAACATAAATAGTTAAGTACTTAATTTAGTTAGCCACAAATTAATATAAAACCAAGAACACAATATTTATGGAAGTAAGAGTAAAGCAATTGACTTTTTGGTATTGTTATTTGTTTCTATAAACTTTAAAATGTACACAACACATGATAAATCTCGGATTTTACTTACATGGTTGTATTTACCTACCAAATTAAAGTTTTATGGCAAGAATGACTATACTTTTTATATATTATTTACATGTAAATATATATATGGTATAATAATGTTTAAATATATTATACAGTATAATAGAATAAAATTTTCAAAGAGTATGAAAACTTTATATGGTGTTTTGTCCTCATGGTCAGCATTTTAGAAACATTTAATGTCTTAGTTATAATTTCTTAAACACTATATATGAATAAAACTTATTTAAGTATAGAAGTTTACATATCAGTTGGCAGGATATCAGGTATCAGATATTGGCAAAGATCCATTTCAGAGTTAACAAAAGTTACTTTTCCAGCTGTGTTTTCATCAAGCCTGTAAAAAATTGCATTACTTAAAGAAAACCTGTTCAATACATCATACCAATTCAGAATATGATGTTTATTTACATTTACCATTTGTCATTACATGTACAATATATTGTATTAATATATTGCAGATAGATCAATATATTAATACAATACAAAACTCTTAACTTTTTCTATTATTCGTGGTCAGCTTTCTTAATCATTTGGCGACATTAGTTCCCGTTACAGGCAGTCTCCTTCATTAGATTCAACTATATCATATTTCTATGACCTATCTATGACATATACAAAACAAGTATGTTTTTAAATACCGCAGGACATATTACACAACGCTGTTTAATTCCAAACTAATTATTATCATTCATCATCATTTGGTTCACTTGAAAGTTTGTAAAAAAATATTTTCTATGACATATGTGACAACTTTGATGGTGTAGCAGTTTAACATACCACCTCGTTTTGAGATGGTCACGAGTTTACAATACAAACATTTGTATTTATGAGTAAGACTTGGTCTGGATGATTCTATATATTATGTATAGAATCATCCAGATTAAATAGTATGTATTTACAAAAAAAAAAAAAAAAAACTTGTACATTTTAATAGTTGTATAGTAGTAAACATGATACAAGCACTACTTAAGTCAGGCTAAGTAGCAATGTATAATACGTCTATGAGTGTTTATTTATTATTAATTAGTATAAGCTTTTGCATATAATTTCATTTACCACAAAACATCTTTAAATATTTTTGATATTATTAAGACGTAATAATAATATGGATAAACTTACCAGCCTTTTATAACAGTCCAGCAGCCCGAGAAGAATGTTGGGGCATTGATAATCAAACAAATACCAAGCCTCTCAGGATAATGTCTGCTGAGTAACCAGATTAGGTTTTTTAGTACTTGATAGTCCATACATGAAAGTGTAAATTGGTTCAAATCAAACACGATACACAAGTTGTCAACTACCTCTTCAAAGCATCTTTTACTAGCATCCTCCTGGAATCAAAAAAAAATTGGGAATGTCCTTGAGAAAATAACAAAGATAGAAAGACAAATAATTCAAAACAAATTGCAGGCGAAAATCTGCCATCTTGTTAATGTTCATAATGCAGAAAGAATTATGGCAATAGTAACAATAATAATGTCATGACTATCTTACCAGGCAGTAAACAATAAATTTTGTTAATTCATCAATATTCCTGTCACTAGAACTATGATTTTTTGCTGGAATGTAGATGATTGGTCGTCCTATAATATCCCGATGTCTGAGTACTCTAGCTTTGTCTGAGTACTTCTCTATAAGTTCTTTATCATTGTGTAACTCTGCCACTCCATATTCTGTACGCCACTTGTTTGTTTTTAATATTGCCTGAAAAGTGTCCAATCTAAATGTTAGAATAATAGTACAGTTGCATGAACTGTGTCAAATTTTTACTTACATACAATAATACAAAAATTCAAAGAACTATGTTGGTTTCTAATTGGCATTATTAGGGCAATTTATAGGAATTGATAATGTTAAGTAATTAATTAGCTCTATTAAATACTTCAGCATATTTTATTTATAGTATTTGTTCTCTTTTCTTATCTGATAAAGAATCTGTTATGATGACAATTTATAATACAATAATTTTGGTAGTGAAATGTATTTTAAATAACATATGAATTTACATAAGACTTACAAAGAAAAATGAAATAGAAGTGGTGGGGCGACACACTGACCTTATATGTGCAGTACTAAATTAAATAAATATTTCAATAAACATAGCTCTTTCTTACTGCATTGTATGCATTAACATAGATAATGTTCAATATATAAATATTTGTATGTGATTACTTTATATAAAATATTTATAGTATATATCAACAGGCAATGATTACCGTTTTCCCACAGAGGATGCCGACTTATTTACTACTTCATGTTGCTTAAAACAAGATGTAAATGTCTAAACATTCAATATGGTGACAGATTAAAAATGCAATGCATCACCATTCTATTTACATTACTTCCTTTCTCAATATTTTATTATTTACTTATGATAAAGATGATGATGATGTAAGAGATAAAGAAAACAAAGTAGATTAGTGTAGAGAAAGAATACTAGAAATAAAAGCTTATAATAAACAATTTGTCATAGCATTAGTTTGCTATATTCCCTTCTTTTAGGGACAAATCTAGTTACTATGCTTAGTTATTATGTTGTTATGTAATATTTTTTTTATAAGATGAAAATAGTACAGGCATAATATAAATTATTTAACAACATTATTTGACTTTGCAAGTTTTATCTTATGAGATCAGATTTATAATCTTATCTAACTGAATGGAAAGTAAATATGATAAATTATCTATTTTATGTGATGCATATTCTGTATGATTTTAAAATATCTGTAATCCCACAATTTTAATGTGTACTTTTGAGTTCTTTTTTTAAGTAAAAATACCTTTCTCCTATTACTGTTTAATATTGGTGACCAATTAAGTAATCTTTATGTATATATATTTACTCAACATTGTGTTGAAAACAAATGTACAAAATTTATTGATGTCGATTGTGAATTAATAAAATTTAAGACATTCAGTTATATGAAAGTTCGGAATTATCCACTGATACGTTATCCTTACTAGGGTAACGTAGTTATGATGAATGAATACTTAAAAAATTAATCAATACTTGTATAGTAGTCAAACATATGGAATATCAGTAAAGAGTACCTGAAATGCTTGATCAACTGTCTTAAACGCTCTCAAATATCTTCGTAACGAGAACTCATTATGATACTGTGCTGGATCGGCACTGACTATTAAACTCATTCTTTCTTTTAAATGCACTAAGTCCTCTTCATTAACGAGTTTTAATTCTCCTGCCATCATGTAATGTATTTTGGACTAGACAATTATAAATTAACTAGCTCTTAACTTAAATGTGTATTACAATAATAAAGTAAACAAATAAAAATCGATTGGGTTGTTAACTATAAGTACAATAATACAAACGAATAGACGTTACAAAACATTCAACAAATTTGACAATATATTTATTATTACTGACTGATGAACAAAACTGACAGTTTTACTGACGGTCGATCGGATACACTGTAGCCCTTAGATTGTGAAGTATACAGATTGGCAAAGTAAAAGAAAGAAAATACCTGAATAAGAAATAAGAAAATAATCTGTATGTTAGAACGAGAAAGACATTAAAACAATAATTTACAAAACATATATTCGAAACTGTTTTGGCAAGAGTGTGAACAAAATAGTTTCTAATTACATTATAAAGTACGGTAGGTATATTAAGTCTATGGTATATAAGTATACAGAATATTATTAAAAAAACGAGTGAGCTAATTTGACAATTAGTTTCCATTTATTTGTGTTTCTATTTTAAGGGTACTTAAGACATTATATCAAATGTTTTTTAAACAATCTAACGGTTATATATTTCACATTTATTAGTAGGTATATCCATATATATTAAAAGTAATGTTTATGTATTATATGTGTATTTCTAATGTATTATGTATATTTTTTTTCAGTATGTTACTATAATTATGTAATTTTTTGCCACCTCTGCCCTTCATACGCTTTTTGTTTTTCCTTAATGATTATCTGATAGCCATCCTCCCTGAAGCGCGGGACGCGCGCGGCAATCTGTTGCTGGCTTTCAGATGAAGAAATTTGTGTTGCGAAACGTAAAAATTCCGCGCGCCGATATTGCTAATTTTCTTTGATTGTACATAGATTATTTGCAACGATATGAGACATCAAAATGCTAAATCTAATCAATTGGATTTGCGCGTGGATGACATGTCTTTATATCCGTACACAACGTGGACTTTTTTTTTATAAATTTCTGTCTTAATAATTGTTTTTAAATGCCAGTTTTAGATTTTTTACTGTTGTTTTATTGTCTGTCTTACTTTTCCATAACATACCGCTACTGTGCTTGTTTACCTATTTTTCATCAATTTTCTTAATCAATATTTCGACGTTTAATAGGTATTAATTATATTACATTCATAAGTGAGTGAATAAAATAGGACGAAGAAAAAAGTCATAAGTGTAGTTAATAAAGCAAAAACTATCAATGAATGTTTTCTAAGTATAAATATATAATAATATAAATGTGTATATTTATTTATATTATTATAGGTAGCCACTTCTTGTCAATTACAGACGTATTTAAGGGGATTGCCGGGTGAGCTGTGTTCACTCTAGAATTGTTTAGTGTCCACCTCAGGATCAAAGCAAAGCTTTTAGCTATGCGCAAAGCTATCTGAACTTTTTTCGCACAGAAAAAAAATTATACAAAAGTTATTTTTTTCTATAATAGCTTGACATCATCATCATCATATCAGCCTTTAACTGTCCATTGCTGAACATATGCCTTGGAGAGTTTTGCCAGGCGTTGTTACGCTTAGCAGCTTAGCAGAGATGTTTTAAGAGGGACACTTGGCATTCCACCCTTAGTCGGTTCTTACGACACTGACTTCAGAATATTATTAAAAAAACGAGTGAGTTAGGCTTTAGAGATGTTTTAAGAGGGACACTGCTGCCCATTCCACGCCCACCCTTAGTCGGTTCTTACGACACTCACGGGAAAGGAAGGGGTGACCTATTCTATTTCGGGACTATACGGCCAATAACTTGACGTGTGCCAAGTTTTATGATTTTTCCCACTCCGAGATTCGCTTGAGAGATATCTTAACGTCAAGCACCAACTGTCTTCTACTTTCTTTTGATACATTTCGTGGGATATTAGTACTATCTTTATAATAGGAGTCACAAGTACTGTCATCCGCATAACAGTGAACGCTGATAGCTTGCAGTATGTCATATATAATGTATCTTTTATTAAATTTCATTCAAATCCATTCAGCCGGTTAAAGGTGCTTAGTTACCAATATATAAAAATTAAAACATTATACATATTTCTTTATTTATGTTTTCTCACTTTCCTCCTAATTTTACTCTATTTAAGTCATAGATTGTTTTATTTGCTCTTCTAATACAGTTAATTGTTTGTTATAGTAATATTTATGTATGTATTATATATATATATATATATATATATATATATATATATATATATATATATATATATAATATTATGTGTATGTTTATATTAGTTTAATTATACGTTCATAATATATGAATTAAGTATTTATATTTTCTCAATTCAATAATAAACTGCCTATTTATTTTTCAGTTTGCCCAATAGTTGACTGGTAGAGAACACTGTCCCGTGTTAAGTCCGTCATAATAAATAAATATTTTTATACATATTGTTCATTTATATCATTTTTTGAAGGGTTTTCATTCATTCATTCATGTATCATCATCATTATGTTAGTTATTATCTACCAACTGCCAAATATAGGCCTCTTCCATCGACTGTCATAAGAAACAGGACCGTTCCTTATGGCAGTTTACCATTGGGGGCATTTTGCCAGTAGTTACCAGACGGATTGGCAACTGTAGTTTAGCTTTTGGTGAAGTTATAAAATGGACGCTGCTACCCATTCCTCGATCATTAAGTTTTCTTAGTCACCTCTTACATATTATATTCTTTAAGATAAAAAAATCTCCAAATCGATTTACAATTAACGAAGTTATGAGGTAACCAACATAAAAAAATACAATCGAATTGAGAACCTTCTTCTTTTTGAAGTCGGTTGAAAAATAATGTATTAAGTTAGTAAATTAGAGTAAGTACATAGAGATTTATTAGCTTAAAATACAGTTAGTTTTTATTACATTAAAATTATATATTAAGTTAATCGCCGTAATCATATCACGTAAATAGAGATGTATTTCATGTGAGTAGACCAATAACTTCGAAGTCAGGTAAGTGAGGTATGAAATTTCTAAAGTCGGCGACTGTGCAACAGAAGCTGTATCCGAGATCAATGCGGTCTGGCTGCCAGTTCAACCAGTTGAAAGCGTTGTTGTTACGACACCGGTCCGTGCAGAACATCAGATCCCGTACTTCCGCTTCAGTGTAGTAAGGATTGTTGATACTTATAAAAGCTGTTCCTAGGCGTCGAGACGGATCATACGCCACCTGAAAAAAAAAAACAATGACTTAAATGCAATAGATACAAAACTCAAAATAAAACTATAAATCAAATTATATGACCAGCGTGCTACCAATAAAACTCTTATTAGTAATTAACGTTTTAAGATTGGTACTTAGATTATAATTATAGATGGAGTATCGAATGTCAAATCGATAAAAAAAAAATGTTTTCCCAAATGTCACTTTAAGTGATTTAAAGACACATCTTTTTTTTTAACTAAAAAAATCGCCCTTCATTTCTTTCATAAAATCTTTAACTTATAAAATCACAAATTCAAGTCTCATAATAAAATTGTATTTTAACTCGATAATACAATAAGTAATCAGATAGGTAATGTTTTTGTTATTATAAGTTATATAATAGATTATTTAACAATAGCATATTTTAGATACTATATTTGGTTTTAATGAATACAAGCGGCAAGAAACACGGAAAAGGGAACAAAGGAAGGCAGTTTCATTGTGTTCTAAGGAATTATTTGACATGATGCCCACAGCCACCTTTTATCATCGCATCGCTAGTCATCGATAGGGAATTTGTCCTCTTACTTTTAAGCCTAAACATTCACACACGTGCAGTTTTGTGTCATTATAGGAATATATATATATATATAAATTTTTGGTAAAATAGTTTCAGCCAATAATTTACATATATGTGGGTTTGCAAATTATTGATTTTGTTATATTAATGAATATTTATAAGTAATGAAGATTATATATTATTAACAACTTGTCCCGGCTTTGAACGATACATTATTTTAATGTATGCCAGTAGAATACCTTCTGTAAGTCGCAAAGACGATGTGTCACAGCGTAGCCGTAATTGGATGAAGACATGGATTCCTTCTACGTTATTATCTGTGCAATTATATAGGTACCTTGTAATAGTATAACGGGACAGGCACTTGAGGGTTGTTGTTAATATCTGTATGTAAGTAAAAGTCAACCAGACGATTGTTCTGGTCACGCAGTTGAGTCACGCCAAAGGTGCCAGTGTAGATTATAGTATTGTAGCCGGCTTGACCGATCCGATGACGTAGATTCTGTAAAACACAATAAAAATATTTTGTTTCATTTCCACTTTTATTTTGTTTGTATTAATTTTTTATTATTAGAATGATACGAGATAAATTTTTAATATTTCAAGTTAAATGTAAGTCAAGCGAGAATGTTGCGTTGCCTAAAAGAATAGTACGAGTATTTTATAAAACTGGATGTATTAAAATTAATTTACAACTGAAAAAAAATCCACAATATAAAAATATCTATGTCCATCTACTACAAACTTTTTGATTTTTTCTTATTGTTATTTCTTAATCAAGTGAACGGGAAAGCGGCTACCGTCGCCCATGAACACCTGTAACACGAGAGGAGTTGCTGGTGCGCTGCCGGCCTTTTAAATGTTTGTATACACAGTTTTTGAAATTCCTCATATTATATTTTAAAGGGAAGACTGAAGACGGGAGTTCATTTCATAACCTAGACGTGCGATGTAGAAATGAACGGGATGTACGGAAAGTGGTAGTATGCCACGCATCCAAGAAAAGAGAGTGAACTCCAGTTCTGTAGTGCGAGGTACGATGGTAAAAAGGTAACGATGGTATCAAATCTTGAAAGCTAATAAAAAATGATTAAGGCAACATTTCGCCTCAAACTCAGGAAGTCCAAACTGTTCGTTAGCATAGGATCGTCGACGCTGTATAGAATCAAGTGGAAGGAGCTGATATTGGAATGCTTTTGCTCAAAGATGTGATCAGTATTCCATTTGTAGGCGAATTTGGGCTTTATAAAAGAAGGAGTCAATGCTGAGGAGTGAAATACCTACTCTTTTGCCTTGTTCAGAACCCTAAATTTTCTATTATAAGCTTTAACAGAAAGTTATTAACCAAATTATAGCATTTAATAACTTATATTTATATGTAACGATTCTGACGTTCTGAAACTTATCTCGTTGTATATATTTAAGCAGTCAAATTTTGCTATCAGTTAGTTTGTATGCTCTGTCAGTTTGATGAATGAAATAAAATACTATGCCAGTGATGTCTCAACAGTTAATACTCATACTGGGTGTCTTAATTGGGCAAATGCCTATAAGGTATACGTATATTATATGAGTCTGTATTCAGACCCGCTGTACAGATTGTACAGTGAGGAATCCAAATCTATAGAAAATCTGATATATAACTATGATTCGTTAGCAAATATCCGTATGAGTCTACTGGAAAAGCTTATAAATATAAGCTAAATATAAGGAGGTAGAAGAAAATATGCCAATGGATCGAGGTGCAACAATTTAGTTGACTCAAAAAAAGCATATAAGATGTCTCAGAAGTTACAAGTGTCCATATACAGCCCATTGATGGACCAATACACACACACGCACACATACACAAAACTATGTTAAATCCAATATTTTTTTTAATTATACAGAAACGTTGTTCTCTAAACTTACTTGTTCAAGCCAGTTCCAGTTGCCAGCATTAAATGGCTGCCACTGTGGTGCAGCGTTAATGAAGTAAAATGAGGACCGCTGGCCGGTTGCATAGATGAAGTCAGTCTTGGCCGCCAAGTGACCACGGGCCAGGAATTGATGACTTGTTATGTATTTATCCGCTAAATTTTGTCCCACAAGTCTAGCAATTGATGCTTTCTGTTGAGCTTGAGTGTATCTATTGTTAATGTCGATGCCAGGGAAGAAACTTCCAGCTAAAAAAAATGTGTGTATTACGTTCGTGCGTATATTTTAAGTGTTTTTAAAATATGTATCTATGTACATGGACAAATACAATTATAGGCATTTATATACACTCTTATGATGACAACAATATAATAGCAGCTGTTTGAAGAGAACACTGTTAAAGATGTCTAGTAATCATTCAAATATATTCGTTCATCACTTTTATAGAAGTATAGGTCTTTACAGAGAAAAAATATTTTTTCAAAGACATGTTTAGTATTTTATGTAGCTAATATTTGTATAGAAATATTAAGATAAAAAATTTACCTAACCAATTCGGCCTATCTACACCAGACTGGTAGATAGCATTAGGTATATTCTGCTCGTACCATACATAAAGAACTTCCAATCGGTTTTGATCGAAGCATGACCAGTATTTTGGATAAAAGACGTTGTTTACGGTGAAGCCAACCCTTAAATGAATAAACATTATCAAAACCAGAAAATATACTGCAGATCTCAGTTAGTGGAAAAATACTTCTGGAATAAAACTATAGGTACTACTGAAGATCGTATACAACCCACAATAACTCTCAAATTCATTAGGTAATGTGATTCTTCTTGGCTTGGTTTAATAGGCGTCTTGTTCTAGCTATTTAATGCAGATGACGAGATGACAGTTAACAGACTAACAATTTGTATCTCTCTGCTTAAGAGAGATACAAACTGTTTGACCTGGAATTGCTATGACTAAAAGATGGAGAGGGTATCGGCTATCAAATGAACTAGTCCTACGTAGTCTATAATTCGATGCCAGACTGGTTGTTGGCCGCAGAATATGACGAAGATGGGCGATTGGCCAGTGACTGCTACTATTCAATTTAATGTAAAAATGTAATATAATAATAATATAATAATTTATTAAATATATGCATGTATTTTATTTACTTACCTAATGACTAAATTGTTATTGAAACAACGTTCATTTGTTGCCTGAGCGTCGTGGAAGGAATGAGTGGAGCAAGTAAGTTGACCAAACTGACCGTTACCATTCAGCCATCCAGAACCAGACACCAAATTGTTGCTTACGCAAGTTGCTGTCTGTATTTAATATAATACATCTTTAAACACTTAACGTTATACCTAAATATTTTATTAGTTATGACAATTATCTAAATAATATGACATGCAGTATAAATAGTGAAAAAATTGGAATGAATGCGTGCGTATTCTACATAAAAATTCTGCAAATATATTAGTAGAATATTGAGTAGATATATACAATGGATATATCATTATTATCATATCAGCCCTTAACCGTCCACTACTGAACATAAGCCTACCCCTTGGGTAATTTTGCCAGTAGTTGCCACGCTTGGTAGGCGGATTGGCAACCGTAGTTAGTTAGTTGTTAGTTTACAGATCTTTTAAGAGGGACGCTACTGCGTCGAGGGATGCCTCGCCGTTCCTAAGTCACCTTTAATACATCCACGGGAAAGGAACGGGTAGCCTATTTTATGCCGAAACCACACGGCCATGTGGATATTACTCATATCTATATAGTGTTAGCACCTTTTATTAATATACAACTATATTCTGTAATACCAGCATAAAATAAAATATATATATTTTAGACACGTATTTGCTGCATGGGAAACTAAAATGGATGTGATAGGTGTTTTTTGTGACCTTTCTAAGGCTTTTGATTGCATTGATCATAATACATTGCTAAAAAAACTTGCTTTTTATGGCGTCAAAGACAATGCTTTAAATTTAATAAAATCTTATCTATCTGATAGAATACAGAAAGTGAAGATTAGCAACGCTACGTCTAATGTCAAAATGACGTATATTCTATTACTTGACTATAAAATATAAAATTTTTAACTCGTCACTTGTGCAAATGGGTGTACCTCAAGGATCTATTCTCGGTCCATTTTTATTCCTAGTTTACATTAATGATCTCCCATATGCCATGCAGGATAGATGCGGCATAGTATTGTTTGCAGACGATACTTCATTGATTTTTAAAGTTAATAGAATGACTAATAATTATGACGATGTAAATAGTGCTTTGCGGCGTCTCCTGCACTGGTTTACAACTAACAACCTTATGTTAAACGCTAAAAAAACAAAATGTGTTAATTTCTCTCTATCTAAAAGTTTTAATACTAATTGCAATATTAAATTAAATGACGAATCTCTCGAATTTATAGAATCTACTGTCTTTCTAGGAATCACACTAGATAATAAAACACAATGGGGTGCACAAATTCAAAGCCTTGCAGCGAAACTAAGTTCAGCAGCTTTTGCCGTGCGTAAATTAGACAGTACACTGATACTGATACTGCTAGATTAGTCTATTTTAGTTATTTTCATAGTTTACTCTCTTATGGAATATTACTATGGGGAAAAGCGGCAGATATTAAGAATATATTCATATTACAAAAACGTGCCGTTCGAGCGATCTACTGTATGAAGAGTCGTGACTCATTAAGAGAGAAATTCAAAGAGGCAAATATTCTCACCGTTGCTTCTCAATTTATATATTCAAATATTCTATATGTTCATAAAAATCTTGACTTATTTCCAAAAAACAGCAATATTCATAATATTAATACTAGATTTAAAGACAAACTTGCTGTCCCCAAGTATCGTTTAGAAAAAGTTAATAGGTCTTTTATGGGAATAGGTATAAAAATTTACAATAAGATACCAAAGGATATGTTGGAATTACCCTTAAATAAATTCAAAACATCTGTTAAATCATATTTACTGAGCAAAGCCTATTACTCACTAAACGATTACTTGAATGACGAGTGTGCATGGCAATAGTTGTTCATGCACTGAATTTTCATTTAATGTTAGACATAGACACCTATATAAATATACATTGTAAATAAACTGGCTTTAAAAAAAAAAAAAAGTAATTCAATTGAGTTTCTTGCCAGTTCTTCTCAATTGGATCTATATACCGAACTGGACGGTAGGGAAAATATAAAATTATAATGTAAAAATTTGACGTTCATAAGCGGCTAAAATGTCCTACATGAATAAATGATTTTTGAATTTTGAATTTTGAATTTTGAATTTTAGGTATATTAGACACATGAATATTATATTTCTCTCTTTTAATTTGATAAAATAGCGTGATTAAGGGAAAATGTAGATAGAAATGTGATATAGGGACTAAGCTTGGAAAAGGCATATATATATGAATTTCTGGGTTTTTAAAGCATAACTACAAATGTAATAATAATATTATATAATGCACTTAAAAGTGAATATCGATTTCAATTTTGTAAAAAAAAGATTCTAATGTCAAAATGTAAAAATTGTTACGTATATTCTATTACTGCCTGACTATAAAATATAAAATTTTTAACTCGACAATTTTGATAAATGTATCTCATATAAGTGTATCTTTTATTTGATTTCGATATTCAGTGATATTATTTACGAAACCCAGATAAATTTCTCAAATGGACAATTCTATGTCGAAACGTGAAAATGATTTTTTTTCTGTATATGAATAATTAAGTACTAAATTTATCATGTGACCGCGTTGTCTAGTAAACTGGCAATGTACTTTTATACCAACTAACTTTTTTTCTTGATTTTAAGTTTCATGAAATATAATTTTAGTGATAGATACTAACAGCAGTTTGAACCGTGGAGACTATGTTAGGATGCTGAACAATGCGTCCAGATCCTGTGCAAGATACAGTGACTTGGTCCCCGGTGTTGAAATTGATTCTCCCCGTGGTCCCGGTAGGGACGAGATAATTGTTGTTGCGTATGTACACCGGTTGAGGCTGGCCAAGATCACCGTTCACTCTGATTGAGCAACCTGTAAATAAATGTCCGTTTCTTAACTTCTCCCCACTACGTCATCGAATTATTTTATAAAATCTGTTTAATTTGTAATAAGATAATAAAAAAGGTAAAAATACAAGGAGAAGACTAATCAAGAATATAAATATTTTTATTTTGCAGAGATCGACACCGCAACCATAAGAAGACAATATGATAAACAGCTACACCGCCAAGATTGTTAAAATGATATATTGTGAGGGCGTGATATCATATAGAACTTGACAAAGAATTGAATATATTTACATTAACTATAGAGAGAGTTTTATCTCTTATCTGCAAATGAGATTAAGGTCATTTGTGACCCTAATCTCCTTAATAGTAGTTAAGTAATAGCTTTTTTAAATATTTGGGTCTGTAAATTTAGGCCAGGAATGTTGCCGTCTAGTTATATTTAGTTGCATATGTATAAAATTTTACTACATATGTATATATAAAAATTTAATTAAATATAATTAAGTAATTATTTAAAGTAGTAGATATAATTACTTGGCTAATATTCGACAAACTTACTAAATAATTATAATAATTACCCAGTTACCATATAGCTTGAAGCTAAGAGCATAAACTACTATGTAAATATGTTTCTTATATTGGTTGGATATAAAATCGAACCCATCGCACTTAAAGCAATATGCATATCACTAATATTATGGACGCCGTCGTCATAGCAAGTATCTACACAACTAAAACAACTTTACACGGTCTCATATAAAATAAAACATTGAACATAGTTACTGTAACAGCGGATAGTTGCTGTACAATGTGTGGATGTGGAGAACAAGAGTGGTTAATTTTTCTGTTATATTAACGTACCATTTTTAGTATCCGCACTTGTCGCATTTGCCAATTTGGATTCTTCTAGTTCGAGCCATGAATCAAGATAGTCTTCGAATGTCTCTTCATCGAGTACAAGAGCAAGCTCTCCAGGTTCTGGTATTTGTGGGAAAGCAATGGCAGCGACCACTAGCGTTGTCAACACGACCGTTAGACGAGTCATCTTTGCTTTATGGCAAAGAGTTCAATAAACGGCAGTGCGATCTGTGCCCTTACGATTGTGTTGTCACATATATATACACATGTATACCACTATTATCTTATTTCGCGAAGAAGTGTTAACAGTAATCCATTTGATAACGATTGTGCTCGTCACAACCCAAATTCGTGTCGTGATTTGATTAATTAATTATAGTGTAATAGACATTTTTATGACTATTATTTAATATAGTTATTACTTCTTTTATATGATACTTTATTGTAGTACATATAAGTAAGTAGATACAGTACCATTTATTTATATTTTCAATAAAGTATTAATATTGTATACTATTTTATTTATTTGACATATTAACAGCTTAGAAGAATAAAAGCGTATGTATATTACATCTAGACGAAGCGAGTAGAAAAAACAAACCTAAAAACGATTAGTCAATTTTTCGTTCGGCATTTAAATGCTCATTTACAAATTTTAAAAGTATAAAGTTTATTATATTGTAATTATTAGTCAATAAAATGACAGTTTATTTGATAAAAATTAAGAAATGCAATTAATAAATTACAGGATTATTTAATTATACAATTATAAAAAAAAATTTAAGCTCTTTTTGTAGATAGACATTATTTAGAGGTTTTTGATCTAATTAGAAGGTAGAAAATTTATTTATTATGTATCAAATTGTTACATAAAATAACTCAAAACTATTTATTCTTTAAATAATCTGAACTGTATACGAATATGTATCGACATCCAATTTAGAATACTATTGCACCCATTACTTGATTTCTAAATTATTTAGAAATTGTATTGTAGATGCGTGATTGTTTCAAGGATGCTGTTCATGTCATCATTTCTGTCTTCTTGGAATATAAGTCAAGGTACCTTTTGTATTATTTAATGGATAAAAAATAGGTTTTACATGAAATATTGTCCATATTAAATATTGAAAGTTTGTTAAGGTTTATTTAGATATTTTGTATATAAGTGTAGTTGGAAATTTCATTGATATTTAGTATACAAGTAATATATAATTTTAATTTTAATTGAAAATAAAAAAAAATACTATTCTTCTTCTTTAACTCTTTCCTCGCACCTGACCTGTTTTATTTTATTAAATGGTTTTTTACTCATCATATAAGCTTGACATTTGTAATATTGCCTGTAGTTAAACACTTGGGTTGCTTTTAGGCGGTTAGTTTATTTTTAAACAATAATTTACATAATACTACAGTGCCATAAAATATACGCACCCACGCACGCACGCATGCACGCAAGCACGCACGTACGCACGCATACTGCACACCGTACATACTGCATTTACTGAATAGGTATCGGCCCATAAGTGCAGTGCAGTAAGTATATAAAATGAACATATAATAATAGTTTTGTAATTTAAAAAAATATATTAAATATATTTATGTAATATATATTACTTTAATAATATTAGTTTGTATAAAAAATTCACAAACAAAATAAATCAAATTATAGTCTGAAAATAAATCATTATAGTTAATATTAGAGTTACGACAGGGCAGTCAATGAATGCGAATAACTAAAGAGAGGAAACTGTTTTCTCAGCGGATGGCTACATCATGTCGGTTCAATGAATGTCTTTTAACTCTTTGTAAGAAGAATACAATGAGTGATACAGACTACGCGATATATGTATCTACTATATTTAAGATTCTAGTGGAACTAATTTTTAATCCTTTATTTATGCGATTTATACTGTATAATATATTGTTGTATACACCACAATTTTTGGTACTTACCAATATCGTTTGAGATACTGAACCGTTTTCTTGATCTTCTATTCCTTTTAAATAATGTTATTAATTAACTTATCATATTACTGATGAATTTTGCACAAGAGAGACTTTGTGCAAAAGTACTACTCGTGTTTCTGTCGTGAAGTAGCTATATATTTGCATCGATATGTTTAAAGGGGGGATCTCCTCATGAAATTACGGGATACAACAGCAGCATAACACCATAGACCCCGGAAACATATTCTTGTCCTGGCATAGAATGGGCCTTCCTTTTTCGTTCCTTTTCCGGAACTTAGTTAAGGAGAGATGGGCAGCAGCGTCCTTCTTTAAATATCACAAAAATCTAACTGCGGTTGTCAACTAGCCTGCCAAGAGTGGGAACTTCTGGCAAACTCCCCTAAAGAGGGAAGCCTATGTTCCAGCAGTAGACAGTAAAGAGCTGATATGATGATAGGCGATTGCTATCTATCATCATATCAGCTCTATTCTATCAAATAGGCTGGATGTTATTGTCTCTTGTAGTTTATATATATAATATTTTTTATATTTCAATATTTTTTCTAATACAGAGAATTATATATATGTAATACTTTATTACTATAAATTCGATGTAGATATATAGATGTATTAAGTATCTGTGTAACACAATATAAATAGCATATAGTACATGTATTCGTAGGTATATAGATATGAGGTATATTGCAGACATATTACTATTTGAAATTATGTCACTGAATGGACTGCTGCATGGATAAGTGTTTCATTATTTGATAATAAGGTACCTTGAACTATATGACGTTAAATATTAATCAATCAATAATACCTACTGATAAATGTGTTTTGTTTCTATTTTGTACACTGATAATATTATATTTTGATCAAGGCCTTTTTATTTTAATTCTAATGAGAATTTATTTATTTACACATTTTACCATACATTAAAAAGAAATTAAAATATGCAGCAGGCAATATAGTTTAAATAATTGAAGTACACTAAACCTACAACTATTAGGTAGAGAATTTCAAGATCTTTTTATTTTGAAAAAATAAACTTATAGCTAGTATTTTCTTTCTCTTATATTCGAAAAAAAAAACAATTTATACAATAACAATAACTACTTTATTTTGAGTTATTTAATATTATATTATTGTAATATTTGTCCACAATTGAATTAAAAAAACAAAGTAAAATTTGTAAAAATTTTGCAAAAAAGGTCCCACAATCAGAAAATATAGAATTATGCAAACTATGTTTTCTACCGTATTTAGTACCTTACGATTTCTTTAATTTAGATATAGAACTTCTAGATGGAAGACTGGAATAAAAATTTCTAAATGGATAGGTAGGTATCTACAAAAAGAACATAAAAATGAAGATAAGAAAATATAACTGAATAAATTATACGAGCTCTGTACGCCTCTGTATTTTATCATGACAAAACTACTTTTATGCGGGTTTATCTATTACATACATATATTATACTCGTCTTTTAGTTTATATCTCAGGAGACAATTATAAAGAATATTTCCAAAAATAATTCATAAAAATAAATATACTCATAACTCTATTTTCTGATAGATTAATCGAGGCACCTGTTGTTTATCAAATATTATTGTAATCATACTAACGTTGGTAAAGATGTTTGGATGTTTGTTTTTGCATCACCTTTAAACGGCTGAATGGATTTGGATGAAACTTGCTACATGGGCAGGTTATGTTCTAACTTATATTTAGGATATTTCATATTCCAGTTCATGGAGACAAAGCCAAGTAATATAGTAATAATAATCTGTACTTTTTTCTATTAATATTAACGCATGCTAATATATAATAGGTCTCGGTTCGAATAAGATTATGAGACTGGGGACAAAACTAGTCAGAGAGCCTGTGTCTCAGTAATCGAATCCAACGTAGCCAGGATAGGCTTAACGCTTTCACTCAGTTTAATTTGATTACTTAACGGTATATCGAGTAAATCCCTCTCAGTACTGCATTAAGCGTTACTGTCGTGAGCGTATGTACGAGTATTTATTTTTTACTAGCTTTTGCCTGTGACTTCTGCATCACTGTGATATGTTCATTGACCGGGATATATTTAGCCTATATTTTTCCTTATCTCATATAGTAAATGTATATCAAATTTCATAGCGATCGGTTAAGCCGTTAAAGCGACATGAGATATCAAACCAACTCACGTTCACATTTGTAATATTAATAAGTATAATATTAATCCTAATTACCAGTATTGGAAAGTTAATGAATTATAAATTGTTACGCAAATTGTTTCCGTTCTGGTAGGATATGAACTCACGACCTTTGGCGTCTGTAAGTCCGAGTAATATGTATATTAGTTGGCCACGGCATTTAGTAGTTTCCTAAAACATACCTATTTTAAATTCAACTAGCAAATCATGGGTTCTACAGTTTTCGTTCATATTGAATAACTTCACAACCTTGGTATAAACTCGTTAAAATTGTTTCCATTTAGAAATTATAAACGGTTAAAATTTGGGCGACCAATAAAATTAATTGGGCGCTTAAACTAATTATAAGAGTTAGGATTGCTAATTAACAATAATTTATTCAGGAGTATTTAAAGAGGAAACAGCGCAGATTCTAGTAATAGGGTAGTCAAGTCTTTCTATACAAATCTAAGATTTATCGTAAGCAAATAAGTAAATAAGATTATGACGCTTAATAAGGAAGCTATACATATTACAAGGTTCTTGAATTGTTTATTGTTGACAATTAATTATTTTATTTGCGTGGAAAAAACAACAGATAACAATCATCGATGAACCCGATTGATTATAAATATGCAGGATCAAAGACAAAATTGGTATCTCTCCTAGTAAATGTAGGTATATAAAAAATAGTTTAAAATAACAATCACAACTTTTAAGATAAATTATTAAAAGAATTTAGGGTGTATTTTATACTTACTGTGAAGTTTTACACTAAATAATTTTCTGACGTGTCCGTATAAGTAATTTAGAAAAAAGAATATTAAAATACATAACTATATATATATATATAAAACGATGGTCACGAAACTTGGGTTCGTAAATGTCAATACTACTACTACAATAATTTGCTTCCAGATTTGGCAGACAGAGTGAGCTTGTAATTGATTAGACTATTCCAAATTCTGAGTCTGTCTATCTGGAAGACATTGCTTAGCAATAAGACCGTCTTTTATATTACACTATACGTATTGAAAATTGTTCAACAAATCCTGTTATGTTGGTGCAACAAAGTGTTAAATAAATAAATAAGTTAAATAAAAAAGGTGGGGGTTGGTCAATAGGGTGAGACGGTATT